GACCCATTGATGAAATTTTCATAGTAGGTTACTTGTTCTATTGTCTTGCTATATAATCACATACTGTCTACAATGCAATTTCAATCTCGGTGATATTTTGTCTCGTTACTACAAATCGTTCACCCGTCACAGAGTGTAATTTTGTAGAATCTTTCATGAAATAATTCTGATTAATCAGATTCGTTAAGCGTGAGTTGTTTGGTGATATAATTGACCTCTTATTGCACTAGTGTTTGATATATTTTACTATAGGTTTATCAAAGATATAATTTGTATTTGATTCCTGGTGAATAGTATCGACAATGCATATCGGAAATAACAAATATATACAGGTTTAGCATGACGTCTTACCGTTTGTTTGACACGTATCCCCGGTATACCCGCTAACACAACTACAGATGAAAGTCGATCCTGATGCGGAACAAGTTCCTCCGTTTTGACATGGTGATGAATCGCAAGGAGCTGATGAAAGAAACGCAATTATAGAATGAAAATAGCAAGTTGATGTTAACTTGTAAGAGAGGGTAAAGCAAATCGCTGAGAGAAAAACACAACAAGAGCACCGCGAGCGGAAGCATGATACGCCAGTCAGACCCTCGGAAGAGTATTGATATTGGAAGCAAGTAGTGACACATGATATATTTGGTTTTTAAATTACCACACTATTTTTTTNTGTCTCGTTACTACAAATCGTTCACCCGTCACAGAGTGTAATTTTGTAGAATCTTTCATGAAATAATTCTGATTAATCAGATTCGTTAAGCGTGAGTTGTTTGGTGATATAATTGACCTCTTATTGCACTAGTGTTTGATATATTTTACTATAGGTTTATCAAAGATATAATTTGTATTTGATTCCTGGTGAATAGTATCGACAATGCATATCGGAAATAACAAATATATACAGGTTTAGCATGACGTCTTACCGTTTGTTTGACACGTATCCCCGGTATACCCGCTAACACAACTACAGATGAAAGTCGATCCTGATGCGGAACAAGTTCCTCCGTTTTGACATGGTGATGAATCGCAAGGAGCTGATGAAAGAAACGCAATTATAGAATGAAAATAGCAAGTTGATGTTAACTTGTAAGAGAGGGTAAAGCAAATCGCTGAGAGAAAAACACAACAAGAGCACCGCGAGCGGAAGCATGATACGCCAGTCAGACCCTCGGAAGAGTATTGATATTGGAAGCAAGTAGTGACACATGATATATTTGGTTTTTAAATTACCACACTATTTTTTTTAAGAATTAAACAAATAATTCGAAAGGTTCTTGCATTTTCGACGAAATGCCGCTATGTGGCAACGAAAAAGGTATATAACTGTGTCGAAGAACGTTTAAATATCAGAATTTAAGAACTCATTCAAAGAATTCAGGTAATGAAACAAAATGGGAGAACAATTGTTGGAGTTATCGTGTAAACGAAGAAAAGTTAACGGCATTAATGAAGTACAGTGTTGCTATGTCAAGTGTGATACCCCAAAACGCGGAAAGTTGAAACTCGACAGAAAAACGTTGTATATGTTGAACATTATTGCTTCCAGCATGTAAGATTGATATCGTATAAAAATATAGTGTGTTGCTTAGTCCACACACCACTACCACCAAAACATTTAAACATGGGCGAATAGACTTGTTGCATCCATCAGTCGATATTCTGTCAATCAGCCTAAGTAGCATACCTGCTTACTTGTTCTAAGTGCCAAATGCAGTAAATTGGGTAAACCAAAACGCCATTTGAAATAAGAAACATTAACCATCGCTAAGCAGAAACGCCCGAATTTGCCGTTTGCAACGCAGCTTTGATTTTCTTTACATTTACCGAGTCAGTTGGGTTTACTGGATATCAAAGAATTGTACTTGCAATTTCCTTGGTATTATCTTAATTTTCAGGGATTGATTCATTTTCATTGCCAATATTTTAGCATAGTTCATCCAGTTCCTACCTGTAACAGGCTGTTTATCCACACTTTTCCATCCATTACCTACTTGTACTGACCAGTCGAGGTATATGATTCAGTTATTTGTACACTTTGATATACAATCTTAATATGATTTTCCACTAACCGGCTGCAGGGATATGCCTTTTCATCACCATAAAGATGAAATAAAGGTTTCTATTCCTGTTTTATATTATGTGTTTTGTATTTTTTGCATGCTTGTGTTTTCAGAAAGAGGAACATGTGGCTAATTTTATTGTCTGCGCTATCGTTATTTCTATTCTGCTTATCAATTGAATACGCATCCTAAGAGCATTTTATTTTTTGGAACCAGTGTCTATATTTGGCCATACTATCGTTATAGTTGTTACATTTAAAAACTATATGAAATATATATCTCATCGAATAATGATTCAAACTGAAAACACAGTAAGATTAACCTGAATTGTTAAGGATAAATGCTTTTACCACAGTTATGGAAAATTTACACATTATTCATAAAAATGAATTTTCAATTTGATTTTATAACTTGTTCAGTTATCATTCTACCTTTCTGCGATTCCTTGTTGAAACTCTCGCTGGCATGTTATAAGTCCTAACGTGGATACTTAGATGACGTCATTGATAAATTACCTATACGTTGAGGTCATAACCTGGTACATACCTTCAGCACACGTTGGTCCTGTGTAGCCACTGGCACAGGTACAGGTAGCAGAGCCTCCCTCAACAGCACACGAGCCTCCATTCATACACGGGTTAGGTTTACAGTCATCTGGCATATTTTCAAATCGTTTTATATTCAATTAACAATTGTTTTCATAATCAACATACGCTTAAAACTTGTAGATATTTGTTTCTACTCTGATAATAAATGAAAATATATTTTAGTGTAATTGGAATTATACAATGTAAGTATATATTGTATCATATTTAATACAATACATTGAACCAGGTAACTAAACCTAAAGAGAAGAACAGCAACAATACTCGTATTCTTAAGACTATAAAAAGAAAATAATTCACCTTATCAATTATGATGAAAATATAAGTGCTCAATCAACAGTTACATAAATGACAATAAACAGTCATAATACGACATGACTTTGAAGACGTTATTATATTTTGTTATATTTCAACGTTGCAATCTTGCCATATGCTGTCGTTATGCAACGTAGAAACATGACTATTTCCGGTGGATTTGAATGCAGTTTTTTTCGTAGTCTGTCATAGAACGAAAACTGACCATTAACTTTCAGGCAAGACGCCAAAAATTGCGATGGAATCGTTACCTCTGAATAGACGAAACTAAAATGTAACTACATATTGTAACTACAATGTTACTATATATTATAACTACATGTAACTACATATTGTAACTACATATTGTAACTACAATGTAATTCCATATTGTAACTACAATGTTACTACATATTGTAACTACATATTGTAACCTCATAATGTAACTTCAATGTAACTACATATTGTAACTTCATATTGTAACTACAATGTAACTACATATTGTAACTACATATTGATAATCATGCTGGCAGACAACACATTTACTTTAAATAACATTACATCGATGCAATTTGTAGATGTCAATCACTTACCACAGGATCCGTCATAAATGCGTATGTTGTCGAGTGTCACATATCCAGAACCATCAACATTTGTTAACGTTGCTATGAATGTGACCTACAATCGAAGGCGTTTCTGGTAAGTCTTAAAACCCCATAATAGGAACAGAATAATACTAATAACAGCAGTAATATAAGATACAAACGAACTTGTGGCGATACATTGGCAGGGACTAACAATTTTAAACTAGTGCCGTTTATTTGATTATTTACAGAAATTAACTTAATACATATACACACATATATTTCTTTATAGTGTGATAACAAAGCACGGGCTTGCGCAGCCATGTATATGGTCTGAAAAACAACAAATGGCTCAATATTATCTAATAATACCTGTGTTTCTCCGGATGGGATATCTACTTTAGTCTCTTTATACCCCGTGAAAGATTCTCCAGATGTGGTCCATTTTGAAAATAGCGTGTCGCCGCCGGTTGCAGCCGAGTATACTCCAAACGATCCAGGCGCCCCAAACATTTCATAGTAAAATGTCAGGCAGTTAGCTTCAGCTTGGTAAAAAATACAAAATTAATCTTAAAAACCATCGAATATAGACATACGTGAAAATACGTGAAAATAATGTAAGTATTCAAATGGGAAAAAAATATTGAACGCCAATGAGTTCTATGATACCGGATATCAAGTGTGTTAGAAGAGTTCAACATATGAAGGCGTACATTAAAAATAGTCAAAAGGACAAACAAGTGTTTATCTTCAGTAAAGCATTCTGCAAACTATTTTCTATAGAACGATACAAGACCACGAATGTCAAATCAATCATGCGCTATCAATACCAACCTACGTTTTAAGGATCCCAGGCCCACTATCAAAAGCCTTAACTAAGCATCGGAAACTATTTTTACAACATGACTTTAGTTTTTGATAAACAATTTCTGTAAACACAATTTCCTGGGCTGAGATAAAAGAAAAATAAACAAAATAATAAACAAAATATAATCAACAACAGTGTTCCGAGTGTGAAAGTTCAGCGAGGCTAGACCGGGAACACCTTGACCTCAGATTGTCATACTATTGCTTTGACCTGCTGACCAACCTGGACAAAGGACCTGCCCAAGTCGAACCAGAATAACTGACATCAAGAGACAGATACTATAAGCTCATACATCATGCATAAAACGTATTATGTAAAAAATACGTTTTGAATCTCTATTACAATCCAGGTACTTTAGCGACTTCTATATTACATGTGGTGTCAACAGCTGTTGGGTAATGATTCGTCGTCATTTTAAAATAAATGCAAATGGTGCCAGTGTTTAGGGTTAAGGTGGTTAAAATGTTTCTTACAGCTTTAAAACTAAAGTCAGATGCTACGCTATAGACTTGTTATTATCCGTCATAATTATTATTGAACATTTATTTTGAGACTTTCAGAAATTAAGGATAGTAACATACAATGACGATGAGGATTTACCAAATGTATCAACCTTCTTATTGATGGGGAAAACCGGAATGCCGTGTCTGTTGAAAAATAACTCACCAACTGACCGACCGGATCTCTAACATAATCAATGGATCCGGAATTGTGTAACTACTATTACACACAAATATGGATCATCGAAACATACAAACCTGAAAGTGATTACCTGAATCTTAGTAATGTAGCATGCTTTGGAGTAATGGCGCAACATATTTTGGGTATGCCGTAAGTGAAAGCAAAGCTGTGACTACACAGATCATAACAATCAAAATAGCCATAGATAAATTTCAAGAAAACAATTATTCAAACTTAAAATCTGTGAAACTGGGGCAAACTAGGAACACGGTAAAGATTACACAGAGTTCTTCGAGACAATATAAGTGCAATAAGGTCAGGCGTTGTGGAAGGATAAGTGTTTTCTGTTTCTTTGACGACCCATGTACTGTAAATCTAGATCGATTTCAACTAATGTCATGTCCTCAAAATGAATACCAGGGCAGCAGTAACTTAACATCAAGCGCACACAAATAGGTACGATAAACTCCTGAAATAAAGAAGTGATATACGGGTTGTTGTAATTAAGTAATACGAATCTGTGTAGTGTAATAACGTATAATATTGATTGGTGACAGGGGTAATTCAGGCACACTGTACGTGTACATGACTCGTGGTTAAGTGAAAAGGTAACCTTTTTATGTTTTAACGGATAACAGTTACGAAATCGAATTCCTCATTTTAATGTTCATAAATGATGATCCAAATCCTGGTCATATAAAAAACGATATTGGTAGTGCAATGAACAGCGAAAGTGGTGATGGATCTAACTAGAAACTTTAGAATGAAATTACACTTTAATGAAGTGAAACCAGCTGGTTATACGATAATTCGGATCATGGTAAGAACACGTATTCTTGAAATTCAGTGATAACATAAACGGAATAATCAAAGCACAGATAATGGTACTAATGTAAATAAAACATATTGATTTACTCCTCTTCCAAAAGTGATAAAATCGGTTCAGTTTCTGCTCGTCAAAGTTTCATTATAAAATAAACTCATATGATTTCGAAACCGTTTTCTTCTGTATAAGCTAACTACCTGGATAAAGTAAGATACGACAAAGTTACCTCACGAAGCACAATAAGTAAAAAGTAATCAATAAAATGCAGAAAACATACCAGACAGGCTACTTGCGAAAAACCACGCACTGTCTTGCTGCTGTCGACCGTTTGAGTCTATGTACATATATTTTTCCCCATGTTGAGCGGCTGAAGGGCCTACTCCTCCTTGCGTGCCAATTCCCCAATCAAACTGATCAAATCCCACATTGTCGAAGTTGCAGACCTGGCCTGACTCAAAAGAACACCCAACACCTGAAAGAAAGTTGATGAAATAACATACATAAGAGTTCTCTAAGAAACTCACTAATAGGCGGAATATCCAGACCTCCTTATTTAATCGTTACTTAGGTGAACAGTATGCAACTGATTACGTCAAAAACAGACATCACCATATCGGTTAAAAAGTTAAATGTTTAACAGAGATGGTTTTTTTTGTAATGTGGACACTATAATTTATGTCTTAGTCGAGACAATCTTGCCAAAAAGTAATCATAGAACATTAAGTGTAACATGACCTAATATTTATATATAAACGTAACGACAAAAAAAAGAACTTAAGTCAGAAATTCAGAAATGTTATAATATTAAAGACAGTTTATACGCCAACTATTCTGGAAACAATCAAGTAACATTGTTTCATTTAATAACATGTTGTTAGCTTTAGTGGTTGCTGTCTGATTAGATATAATGATTTACCAGTGGTTGACGTCTGATTAGATATAATGATTTACCAGTTGTTGAGCATATATCATCGATGAAGCCATCGTCGCATGCACAATAAAAGCTTGAAGTTCCCACCTGAGTGCAACTGCCACCATTTTGACATGGTTGGGTGGAACAAATATCTGTTGAATGAAAATGAAAAGAAAAACGATTTTCAAGCTTACGAAAAATTTCTTACTGTAAACATTAACAATATCTCTAAATAAATGTTTCCGTGTGAGTTGATGGTTGCGACCACAAAACTCGGTCATGGTCTTCGGCAACCTGCCTCTTGAACGTATGTATCGTACGTCTGTGAGTCGGCAGACAACAAATATCAAAGAAATTGTGAAATTCGGGGCCTGCTACTTGAAAGTGTAACTATTTAAATACTAGATAAAACGCAGTAGAAACTTACCGTTGTCATTGCAGTTAGTTCCACCAAATCCAACTGGGCATGCGCATGTGAATGTATCTTCTCTTTGTGTGCAGGTGCCGCCATTATTGCAAGGGTTGGTTGGCAAACAGAGTTCTGTAAATTAAATGTTATCTTTTTTGATTTGAAATTAAAATAATGAATACCCGAGTTAGTTTAGTGTCATATTTAAGTGTTAAACACAACATACACACTAGGTAACAAGCTACATACTACACAACTTGCATTACTACCATGAACTCGAGGTAAAATAGTGACTTTTTAAAATAGTATTGCTACTTACGTTGGATACACACACATGCAAAAAAAAAATGAAACTATTAAGTTGTAGTATGTTTAGTGAAACGTTTTTTTACGAATGTGATCATATTTTTTTAACACAAAACACAATACTATATTCGTGTTAAACACCAATGACTTTTAAACATAATAAGAAAACATAAATTTGAAATCATAATCATAATGACTTTAGATGTAATAGACGCAGTTAAATACCCGCTCACCTTAATGCATTGTAAACAGTAAGTTTAGAACATTTGGAACTTTGTTTGAAGACAACGAAAACAACAGATTTTTGGCATCTATTTAAAAGTTGTTCTTCATGGTTGAAGTAAAGGTAATAGTAAACACAAACTATTTTTACGAGGTATATTTAACTCTCAGATCGGTTTTCTGCATTTCCTTACATTCCATTAGAACCCCAATATTAATTATAATAATATAGTATATTGATATAGCGCCCTATCTAGCTAACCTAAACCACTCTAAAGCGCTTTTAATACTACTGTAAGCAAGGAATTGACAATTGGAGTTTAATTTATTTATATACATGCTATTCGTGTCCTTTCAAACAACGTCGTGGTTATTTTTTATACTGAGAAAAAATCTCCCAAAGATGATCCCGAGGTCGTACGAACCAACGGTGTGTTTAGCAAATTTGATTGGGGTCCAGATTTACGTAAATATGGCAATTGGATATGGATATCAATCATTTCCATAGGGACGGACTGATTCTTTCTTATAATTATTCTTTTATGTCAGGCAAACAGATGGATGAGTTTATGACTTTAGGATAATGATTCCAGGAATACGTCCCGAGAGGGGTCGGCGAACAAATCACGGTAGCATAACTGTATTCGGCTCTTCATGCCGCGTAGTTGTGTTTTGGTCTGTTTCACACCAAACAAGCAGATCCAAGTATCTCTTATATAACAGGAACAAACATGTATGTCTGTCTGTCTGTCTGACTGTCTATCTGTGTTTATGGTTATAGGTTGGGGATATCAACTACAATTAAAGATTGTAGGACCGTAACGGATGTCAAAACCCAAAAAGCAACCTTGATAATATATATAACTACTTTATCAACTATTCTAATGTCATGACTCAGGAAAAAGTTCTCATGCGCAGTACCAGATCCCCGAATAAATGTTGGCAGCAAGAGTGTGTTAGTCGTTTTAGATCTTGAGAATGATGACAGCAAGCGTGTGTTTATCGTTTTATACCTTACAAGTGTATAAATTGTAATATGGTCGATATCTCAGCTTTTTTGTTTTTATTTTTGACTCAAAAATTAAGTTTTCAAACGTTGGGGCAGATTTTTTTTGATAATCCTTGAGTTTGTCGCTCTCTTTACGAAATTAAATATATGGTGACATTGATCTATAGAAGATGTTACATTCGATTCCGTGTCATATTAAATTTCTTAAACGAGTTCAGTAATGCGCATGTCATATCAGATTATTGAACTCGTTATATAAATTTAATATGACATGGACACGAATGTATGACATAAACCTGACACGAGCCTATATAGCACATGTCATATCAAATAATTGAACTCATTTTATAAATTCAATATGACATGGACACGAATGTATAATTCGATTTATCACATTGCATTCATGATTTGAAAAAAAATCAGCTGACAATATGATTCTAAACCAAAGTACTCCTATCATAGTATTGTCGTTCCACGCGGCGCACAGTAGTTGCAGAACTTATATCATTTTTTTTAATGCAATGAAAATAATATTGTCAATATAAACATTTTAAGCTTTGTCAAAGACACATCTATTAAGTATGTTATCATGAATGTTCGAAAACTTTCATACTAAATAATCATAATAATAAGGTGTTTTCCCTACATTGGTTTATTTAGAATATAATATAATGAAATTGCACTTCTGTGATCAGGAGCAATTTTAATATTCCAAGAAAAGTAATTTGGGTAAAACATTTTGTTACTTACAAATCCTCATTTACACCATTTTGCTGATTCAACGATCGACATTAATGAATATTCATTTTTCTTTTAAGCGAAAAGATTACCAATCCAAATGGGGGAGTTGACCGTGCTATATTATACTTTTGTCATTTTTCATTATTTTCATCTGCATCCTTTGAAAGATTTATAAAGTGCCCTACCGCCCATCATGGATTAGATTTAAACAAAACTGAGTGTAATACCATCGTAAGTGTGAACACATACATTTAATGAATGAACGCATTAGTGTATTAAATAGAAACTTAAAAGAAAGCTTACCTGTGTATTGACATAGAGTTCCAGTAAATCCGGCTTCACAATTACAGCTTAGGACACCATTGGTGTTGACGCAAGTGCCGCCATTCTGACAGCTGTCAGACAGACACTCAACTAATAAGAGAATGACATGATACAAGATTATCGCTTTAAAGCCTATTACGATCAAAATATATTTATATTATCATGTACATACTTTATGTAATTAATGATTGTTTAATTACTGAATTAATTTTATGGTAATGACGTCTATTATCTTTTCATTCCCTTTGTATAGTTTTCATTACATGTCGAGCTAACTCCCTCTCATGAACACACATTTTACAAAATGCATGTCATTATTGGTTTGATGTTTGATCAGTATGAATAATACTTTCAAGCTTCTCCAACCATTAGCATGCTTTACCTATTTTACTATGAAACACGTTGTGTATAAACTTTCGTTGTTTTCGTGGTTGCTATGGAACCATGAATATAAATATAACACATATTTCTACAACACGAAAGAACATACACTTACATCACGAAAATGTGAACATTATTTGAATTGTATTTCAATCAAAAATGTGCACACAAAGGTAATATACATTGTTCATGTATAAAAAAAAAATTACGCATTGTCGCGGCAAATTAACAGTTGCAGATTCCATCAGACCGTGTTTCTATTCTAGTTTATATAGAAATTCACATTTCCGTGTGATATTGACACATCGATTCACAAACGAATATTTTAGATAGGACCTAATTGAACAATTCATTTAAAATAAAGGTATGTTTTTACTGAAATGGACATGTGTTATCAATCTAGTAATGATTCATTAAAATTGAGACCAATAAAGTGAAACGGTAGGTTTACGGGGTGTCGCGAGAACAGGTCAGTTACAAAGTGTTTTTTTAGCATGATGTCAAACTCCCACCGCATTTATATTTACCTTAGCTGTGTGCTAATTATTTTCATTGTTTGACATGAACAGAAAAGTATGATGAGTATGACTCTTTCTCAACGACAAATGATTCTCGGAATGGTGTATATATTTCGTTGTTACATGGCTAACAACGAAAATTAATAAATTGTGTTGCACGGGCTAACCATGAAAGTTTGTACCCACGAAATAATCGGAAAACAAAGTACACGTAAACATGTCATGTTATACAGATAGGCCATATATATCGTCAGAAGTATTGAAAGCATCTCTGCAGTAGTTAAGAACTGTTCTCTATTCAATTCTTTGAATTATTTTTTACTCACCAAACAACATTTTGTATGCTAAATTATTGTTCTGCATAGTTCATAACGAAATGCGAAAACAACATTTTGAAAGTATACATCTAAACATAGATCGATTAGTTAAAAAGGGGAAAGGAAAGGCTCAAGTGGACAGAATGATGAGAAAAGCAACAACAATAACGTACATGTATATATCGACACGGTATGTTTGCATAAAAAAGGAATAAGATTTATGTCGTTTCATAAGCGTATTCCGTCTTTGCGTATTGCAGAGTTATCTTCTCTTGGGAGCAGGTATTGATTGTTACGTCACTTGTTTGTGAGAGTAACGTCATCGACTTTTGAGAAAACAACGTAATTTTCTCGCACAAACCAATGACGTAACAATCAATACCTGCTCCCAAGAGAAGATAACTCTGCAATACGCAAAGACGGAATAGAGTGTAAATAGATGTTTTAGATTAGTACACATGCACATCGTAACAATAACTTAAGTATTGATGTTGCATACAAAATACCAATGAGTCTTTCATTTTCACTGCTTAATCCAAAATAAAAAGATTAAACGCCCTCTAACCATTCACCTTTATCATCAGAAAAGCTGTTTCTAACTCATTGAAAACCGTGAAAGAAACGTTACAATTAAGTTTCCACGTACCGATGGAGTCGCAGATGTTTCCCGTGAACCCAGTTAGACACGTACACTTCACTTCGGTCCCCGTCTGTGTACAGCCGCTTCCTCCATTCAGACATGGATTAGTCAGGCACAGATCTATAACGAAACATGTCTCTATCTCAAATAAGTGTTACTGAAAAAAGCTTTAAATTGTAGTATAACCACACAGCAAAAACAATATATATGCTAACAATATTGCAGTCGTTTTATATGTTATTAACATATTATAAATGTTAGAACGGACATCAACATTTTCAAACACATGTATATATTGATTAATACAATTGAGACTTTTGAATATTTATGTTATGCAGACAAAATATTTATTTAACTATATACTTTTCCAGTTTAAAAGCGTTTGAAGTTATTTCTGCGTTGAGTCGAAATGGAAAATAGAACACAATTAGTATTTTTACAAAAAAAAAAAAAGTATCTGCCTCGAAGTGTCCATCTTGATTATATTTTGTATCGTTACGAAAATAATAAAACTTCGGCTGCAAGTCATTTAAAACCCTGATAGAGTTTGGAATTAACCTCTGCAGCCATTCCTCAGGAGATGTCGAAAAAAATATAGTATTGGGTACCGTCCCAATTTGGGTACAGTGACTTTAGTATATGCAGGAACGCTTGGTCATGACCTCGTAGAGAACATTTGTGCTGAGTATGGAGTCAGCTACTGAAGCTGTTTTAAAGAAGAAATCGGAAATGCCAGGACCTCCGTCTTAGATTTTCACTATCAGTACCAAAATGTTCGCCCACATTCCCTCGCAAACACATTTGAAATGAAGGGCCAACAAATCCGTAATTCGAATCCAAAATAAAAATTAAACTATGGCAAAATATCAACAAAGGAAAGATTTGCATAGAGACAATTACAAAAGTACTAGGAAAATCAGACCAGATGTTCTGGAATGTTTTGATTTATCGACGAAACCCGCCGTGTTAATTTGGTCAAATCCAAGTAGTGTGACGGTCGCATACTAATGAACATATTCAAAAACATAAGCGTTCATATCTATATCATATATTTTAAGCATGATATCTGATAGTGTTTGCAAGCAATTCAAACTACCATTGGCAGGCAATATAGAAGTTCGGACAATTTAGACAAAAAAATAAAAGATACTCCTTGAAGCATAATTGTTTCTATTTGATGCCAAGTTAGCAGATGAATGTGCACATGGTTATATGAATTATGACTCCAGAAATAAGTCCTGAAGGGGTATGTAGGACCCCAGAGCCAGTCAAGGTAGCATGGGTGTAGTTAGCATTTCATGTAAAACAATTGTATGTAGGTTTATTGGGTGACGACTTGAGAGCTTCTTTGTTATTGTGCATGGGTCAAGGTCTGGAAGGGCCAGACACAGATGTCAATTCTTGTACAATCTCTCATTTTTATCATTTGTATAGATAATAAAAAATAGGGGATCTCAAACTATTGCAATGACAAAACACGGGGACACTCTTTTCATAGTAGTGACCGACCACTGAGCCAATGCTAGTAACATGAGTCTATTGGTTACTTTAAGCTTTACATATTGTGAAATGGTTGCAATCTCATCCACCTCTATGCTATGACTGTGAACGATATTGCATACAAGTGACATTAAATATACATAAAGGTTCAAACAAGTCAGACAAAACATAAGACCCTCTACGTGCTCGGGCCGAAACAGGTGATTGATATAAGTAGGAATAGCTTGTTTCAAATTGTTGTAAAATAAGTTGATTTTTTTCGTTCAGATAATTCAAAAGAATTCATATGATTTAACAGAAAAAAAGATACATAAATGTGGGGAAAAAAATACGAAAACCTTACCTGTGTATTCACATGCTGGTCCAGTGAAGCCAGAAACACAATTACAGCTTAGGATACCATTTGTGTTGACGCAAACGCCGCCATTCTGACAGGTGTTAGACTGACACTCAACTAATAAGAGAATGACATGATACCAGATAATCATAAGGAAGCCTATTTCGGTAAAAAAAAATGAATTTTATATTATCTTGTACATAGTAAATATAAACAATGCGTGTTCAATTACTGCAATGATTTCGAGGCTTTTTGTTTGTCTTTCTTCTTGTATAATATTTCTCATATAACTCTTTACTAGTTTAGCATATTTGTGGATGTTAAAATACTAGTGATACTTTAATTTGAAAGGCATGCCATTGTTGGTTTGATCATTCAGGTTTACATTCCCAATCAACATGTCTATACATCTGATAAGTATGAAGTATGTTTACAAAACCTATCAAGAACCACATGCATTATCAGATGAGCTGTATCCTTATTCATTTCGTTGAATTTATTTTATATAACAACATTTCATCAAATAAAAGGGTTCATTATACCCGGAAGCGACTGATTAGTTTGGGAAATTGAAAGAAGAGCGAATGGCATAGCATTTTGTTTTAAATTTTACTGCTGATTGCAAAATGTATCTATTTAACGTTGTCTAAATATTCACGTTTATAAATAGAACAATTGTTTCCTTACTCATTGGCGATGATCGTTAAAGAAACAACTTTCTTACATACCAATTGTATTGCAGGTGCTTCCCGTGAATCCTGTCGCACAAGTACACTGAATTTCACTTCCAGTCTGCTTACAGCTCCCCCCATTGAGACAGGGGTTTGGTTGGCACAGATCTATGCAATACAAATATTCGTATCTCAAATTACTGGCATCGAATGTAACTTTTATAAATAAAACAGCCATGGTGCAAACGAAAATACAAATGTTAGATTCCGCATTTTGTAACATATCGTCAATACTGATGAACAAAATCCTTGGAATACAGACGAGAAGTATTTGCTATATAAACAAATTGTATATCTTGTGTCGACTTAAAATGGGCTTGGAATATTTGATTTGCATTTGTGTAAAATACTTAAACATATACACACTATATATATATATAATGAATCCGAGGACATGGTGTAAAAATCAGAGAAAAGAAAAACACACACACTTACAAAATATAAAAGGAATAAACATATAGATTTTGGATCGAAACGAAAGGTGAGAACACTTAACCGGAATCTCAATTAGATACTGATCTCTTCAGTCGCTCTTGAGGAAAAAATCGAAAATGTAGCAGCCAATGAAGAACCATAACCACCACCTCGATTATAGATTATAGATTTGGTATAAGCATAGAGAACCTTTGTACTGAGTTCGGTGCCAATCGTTGGAATTATTTCCCAGATGCAGTCGAACATGTTTGAGTCAACAAGGGGCAAGAGTAACATGACCTATCAAGGATTTTCAGTGGTTTTTGAGTACAAGTCGAAAATATCTCGCCAAATCTGTGATCCGAGTAGCCAATGTTAGATTTCCAGATTAGCATAAGAAGTTAGAAAGTTTGGTGATAACAGTGAATAGAACACTTTTGTTGAGTTTGAAATCAACTTCAATCTTGACCATTCAGAGGCAAGATATTCGATCTGGAATTTCAGATCAACAAGAAAAATGACAATACTTATTTTCCCGAGTGTTGGCTCTATCAACTTAATTGGAAAAATATCCATGGTAATTGGAAACCGTGACTGTCAATTTGGATTTTAGGATCAGGAAAAGTAAAAAAAAGAATAGTTTAGGTGGGTGAATTTGCGCTGAGATGCAGGTCAATCACTATGCCTACACGTGAGAAGAATCCGACAATATCTCAGCCAATCAGAGGTTAAGGCGGCCTTTTCGAATATTTAGATTCGTACGAGAATGTACACGTATGGCAAAGGCCACATAAGTAATATTTGAATATTCCTTCTATATTCGGAGCCAACCGTTTGGCTCTTTAAAAGAAACCTCAAATGTGTTACTAGTAACAACATATTGTCTGGACCTAATATGAATCACTTGAGCTAAAACATCGGCATTTCTGTTTGATAAGTCAATATGATGTCTCAATAGATACTAGAATATGCCTTAACGTTTGGGGCAAAACATTATCATCTTAATCAAAGTTGAATACATAATTGTATAGCCATTGCTTTGTGAGAAGGGTTTTGTAAAAGCCTATCGCATCGGTTAATTAGTATACATGACATACATACATATATGCATGTTTCCAGATCTGAGCAGGGATAGCCAATGGAATTCGATCATTTGAGAAGTTTACGCAATATCATCACATAAAACGTTATAACACTGGACAAATTATAACATTACTTTGTTGAACGGTTGTTTTGTGTAGCAATGCTCAAAATAATTCCTCATGCATTTAATGCGTGCGTTAACAAAGAAAAGATAAATTTTACTTCCGGTAAAAACTCTTGCAACCTGTCAAAACCAAAGGTAGTCACCGACATAATTTCAATACACTTGTCTACAATGAGTCAATTTCTAGTGTGCTCCTAAAACTAATGAGATGAGTAGAGCAGCAGTTACGTACTATTGCACTGGCCAAGGACAACAGAGATATCATCTAGATAAACACCCTGGCCGGCTCCATAGACGCCCCTGAAATAAAGCTGGCACCAGCAAATAACAAGGATATTAGTGCATACATTCTATACATTGTTTATAAGTACATGTATTCTGATTCCATGTTCATGCGAGAGAAACAAAACTGTATCATTAACAAATACAGTATGTCAGCTATACACAATTTGTATCCGAGGAAATTTTGCCTTCAGAAATTGACTCAATATTTTGCAAGTAGTCATTTTTATTTCATTAGCAATGTTAATACTAATTTACCATCGATACATCTACGATACATATGATACACTTAAAACGCCGAAGCAATGTAATACATTTCGCGGTACCCAGGTTAAACATCGACTTATGGTACATTTTTAACTACATTAAGATATTATTTGACGACCATCGTAATTTGTTAATCAATTTACAACATTTGATATAGCGCCCTATCTTACTAGATTAAGCCAATGTAAAGCGCTTCACAGTACATAAATATACAATTTATACAATCAATACAATTCACATGAACATTAATCAATACAGTATTATTTATACAGCCATAAATCACGACAAAAATGCGACGTTGAAGTTATGTTATTTGACGTTAATGCAAGGTATGTATGATGTTACATTGGTGACAATATTGTATACAAAACACCTATATGCCACAACATTGGAATCGTATGTCTCCTTATCCAATTTTTACTTGTATTCTGTTTTCGATCTTTATACGTCAAAACGTCCCTCTTTTTTTACATCTCACTTATGGCTATTTTGCAGAGCGTTCGTCCAGGTTGGGAAGCCAATGGGTTATGTCCCCCGGACTTGACGTACCAAAGTCCTTAAAAATGTTAGTTGCTATTCCCTACTAAACGGTTAACATTTAGGTGAGCTTAATATGAGAATGTCAAAATAATGTGACCGAATGAGTGATTTGCTTAATGCCTTTGGTATGGTGCTTCAGGGAGGGAGCACTCTAAATATAAAATCGGAATCAGATCTGCGCTATCGCATTGAGGCACATTCATACATTATACACATGGTGGTACGTTATTAGATTACCATAGCTGTGTAAAGTGTTATCGGTCTTATAAATCAAACTAAAGCAATACCTGATAAAATGTTCGTCAAATTATTTTCTAATATCAAAGAAGCGAAAGCTTAACATAGTGTAAGGTTCAAATTTTCTCCATTATCAGGGAACACGACAGAGTGATGGCCGAGTTAATGAGGGGAACACGACAGAGTGATGGCCGGGTTAATGAGGGGAGCCCGACAGAGTGATGGCCGGGTTAATGAGGGGAACAGGACAGATTGATGGCCGGGTTAATGAGGGGAGAACGACAGAGTGATGGCCGAGTTAAAGAGGGGAGCCCGACAGAGTGATGGCCGGGTTAATGAGGGGAACACGACAGAGGGATGGCCGAGTTAATGAGGGGAACACGACAGAGTGATGGCCGGGTTAATGTGGGGAACACGACAGAGTGATGGCCGGGTTAATGAGGGGAACACGACAGATTGATGGCCGGGTTAATGAGGGGAGCCCGACAGAGTGATGGCCGAGTTAAAGAGGGGAGCCCGACAGAGTGATGGCCGGGTTAATGAGGGGAACAGGACAGATTGATGGCCGGGTTAATGAGGGGAGAACGACAGAGTGATGGCCGAGTTAAAGAGGGGAGCCCGACAGAGTGATGGCCGGGTTAATGAGGGGAACAGGACAGATTGATGGCCGGGTTAATGAGGGGAGCCCGACAGATTGATGGCCGGGTTAATGAGGGGAACCCGACAGAGTGATGGCCGGGTTAATGAGGGGAACAGGACAGATTGATGGCCGGGTTAATGAGGGGAGAACGACAGAGTGATGGCCGAGTTAAAGAGGGGAGCCCGACAGAGTGATGGCCGGGTTAATGAGGGGAACACGACAGATTGATGGCCGGGTTAATGAGGGGAGCCCGACAGATTGATGGCCGAGTTAATGAGGGGAACCCGACAGATTGATGGCCGAGTTAATGAGGGGAGCCCGACAGATTGATGGCCGGGTTAATGAGGGGAGCCCGACAGATTGATGGCCGAGTTAATGAGGGGAGCCCGACAGATTGATGGCCGAGTTAATGAGGGGAGCCCGACAGATTGATGGCCGAGTTAATGAGGAGAACACGACAGAGTGATGGCCGGGTTAATGAGGGGAGCCTGACAGAGTGATGGCAGAGTTAATGAGGGGAGCCCGACAGAATGATGGCCGGGTGTATGAGGGGATCCCGACAGAGTGATGGCTGAGTTAATGATGGGAGCCCGAGAAAGTGATGGCCAAGTTAATAATGAGAACCCGACAGAGTGATAGCCGGGTTAATGAGGGGAACACGACAGAGTGATTGCCGGGTGAATGAGGGAACACGACAGAGTGATGGCCCGGTTAATGAGGGGAACAAGACAGAGTGATGGCCAAGTTAATGAGGGGATCACGACAGAGTGATGGCCCGGTTAATGAGGGGGGAGCCCGAGAGAGTGATGGCTGAGTTAATGAGGGGAACACGACAGAGAGTGATGGCCGGATAAATGAGGGGAACACGACAGAGTGATGGCCGGTTGAATGAGGGGAACACGACAGAGTGATTGCCTGGTAAAAGAGGGGAGCCCGACGGAGTGATGGCCGAGTTAATGAGGGAAGCTCGACAGAGTGATGGCCGAGATAATGAGGGGAACACGACAGAGTGATGGCTGTGTTAATGAGGGGAACACGACAGAGTGATGGCTGAGTTAATGATGGAAGCCCGACAGAGTGATGGCCAGGCTGATGTAGGAATATTTGGTTGTAGTTTCTTGAGACATGACAATGGATTAACACAACATGTAAATCACAGTACCTTTCGGTTTGAAGATCCCACTGCTACCTCGATTTCTTTTGATTGCCAAGGTGACAGCCCAGTGTCACCAACAGTCAGCAAAACACTGGGCGTGGTATTGGAATCATCACTGACTTGTACGATCAGTAGACTATCTGAGTCCTGGGCATTTACTATGGTTTTGAATCGCACACACAGTGGGACATCATCTGTGTAAAGTGATCAGACAGAATATCCTTTACTGAACTGTTATTCGCAGGTTCACATAACTTTATAAATAGATCATGCATTGTTGATTAATCAAGAAAACGCTACGAGGAAATAGAAGTTACCTGAATCCTATTGAAAACCTTTAATTTAGATTATTTTCTACAACTAGCAAAAAAAGCAGGTGGGTTTTTTTCAGAGTCGCAAAATAACTTTTTTCAAATGTTTCAAAGAGCGGTTAACATAACGAGGAATTAACAAGTAAGCCATAGTTTAAATAAAAGTAATTTAAATAAAATTTCATAATTGAAAATTCATACTGCATTGTGGTTATTTTTCAAGTTGCAATAGAAACATAAGAAGGAAAGAAAAGTCCTTTGATTAGAAGGTACATCTTTCTAATGTCATACAATAAAACATGTAATGTACTGATTGGCTAACAACTTGTCGGGATTTACAAAACGCATGCTGTTCAGATACTATATACCAGTACGTGTTCATGGTTTATTATTGACATATCTATAAATATGCTGTATTATACTAAAGTTATGAATATCAACATTACTAGATAAACGTACCAAACTTATTGAATATCCGATTTTCTGTAAACTGTGTAACTGTATACGGTATATCGTGTTAAAATGTATCTGGTATTATCACAAAATGGTTATCATACACTGTATTTAAGGAATAAGTTGCATTATAATTTTACAACGCTTATATTCACGCCATGAAAATGACCCTCTGGACCCTGTGATTGGATCGCTGTTTGTTCGAACTATGGACTGTTCAATGTGATATTGTGACCACGCTATTTTGTTACGAAAATATAACTGCGAACTTGTGAACTTTAATTCAAGGAAATAAAGGCACTGGACTTTAGTCATAGTAATATTTTTGGAACCAGATTTTTAAAGCATTATTAGCAAGTTACCGCTAATGATTAAAAAATATGATAAACGTCAAAATATAAACAATATGAAAAGGGATTCGGTTTGATCATCTGAATACACAAGGTACCTCAATGGTCGTTTTAAATAAAACAACAGTGGTCTTTTAATTTATTTATTTTTTACATAACTAACATTTTGAAAATTTCATTAATGATTCTTTACACAAATCAGACCTTGAACAGTGGGACCCAGAATGTTTTTTTAAGTTAATGATAAACGCACATGAAATGATTTCACAGCATCTACCGCAAATTATACATTGCTATACAACTGTTTACCTGGAAATTTAACCGTCGACACTAAAGTAGCTGCATCTGTTTGAAAGAAGGATGTTGTTGGGTATACATAATAGAACGTAGGAGTGTCGGCTGGTTCCGGTGGATCATTGGAATATCCCTATTGAAACAATGTCAAGCAAATTTACATTTAAGGTAAAATATACTGACTTAGTATAACAATATAACAATGCTTCACCAACTAGGATTATCTTCCCAGAATTCACTTACCAGAATATCCCTTTGAAAAGTAAAAGAAATATACTATAACAAAATGTTATTACTCGTTACACAAAGGTTTAGCTTTTAATTATATTCCTGTGATTGACGTTTTTATAGTTAAAGTCATGCCATATCATCATTCACATTATGTTAAAGTGACCACTCCCCCATTCCCCACCCACGTTAACTCACACTGAGAGTGTTCCTACATAAATATGCAATTACTCCCGTACAACCCAAAACTAAACCCATCAAAAATAATTGAAATAAAGAAAAATCGGCACATAGGTTATTCATCACAGATCACAGTTACTTATTTCCAGACTTTTCTCATCCTTTTAAAGATGAACCATATTCTAAAGAAACTTTTTTGAATATGCTTATGAAAAATTATTACCTTTTATATAGTTTGAAAATTAACAAATCAGTTCATGGGCGTAATATTCGAAACTTGCTAGACAGAACAAAAATGTTTGTTATAAAAAAACTCATTTATTACAATTGTAATAGATATAATATATAATATAACATGCAATTGCTATACTTACGGCACGTGTTCTCTCGCCAAATCGCATGGAACTCCCGTCTTGAACTTCAAAAGGGCAAGTCCCATCAATATCAATATCAAGTCCCTCATTACACGAGACGCTTCCTGGAAAAAATAGCGTACATTTAAGTTTCTGACATTGTTTTTTACAATTCTATCCCGACTTTTGTGAGATGCAAATGCAATCTCACGGGGAGAACAAGTTCCATCGGTTGTCTTCTGAATCAGGGAGGACCAATCTTTCTGCCTGTTTTACCTCAGTACATATATTATTCGATTCTTGTTGAGAAAAACAGTGCCAAGATATGATATCGGTTTCAAAGAAAGTTAAATAACCACTGAACTATATAAACTCCAAAACAATAGCGTAAGTACAACTAAAATAGAGAAAATGAGCATAGGGTTATTTCACCGTATACCTATTATAATTTCAAGATAAAATAAATAGTTCACGAATTATACAATTTGCAGACAAAAAACGACAAGAGATGTATCAATATACATAGGGAAAATGTGGTGAAATGACAGATTTCTATGGAGATCTTTGAAAAACTAGAAGAAGGATAAGGTCAGATGATCTGGAAGGACTAACACATCAACAAGAGAATACCGAAGTTTTACCAATTGAAATGTGAGCTCAAAATCGATAAGGCAAGGGTAACAGTTGAACAAGGGATACATGGAGTACTTTGAACAATTAAAAGAAGAATACGAAAAGGTGTTCCGGATTAGTAAGCGTCTTCTTATTCTCTAATGTCAAACAGAAGAGCAATAACAAAAAAAAACACTACTATTTCACACAAGAAAACAGCATCGCTCCGAATGACATGATGGCGACTATAAAACCGGAAAAACAGTCTGCCATGTTTGTAAACAATAAGACATGTGGTTATGAATATCGTCATACACTTTTTATGACGTCACAATTACCAGTGACCCATTTTAATGACTTCATAATTGAACACGTTCTAATCGACACGAGGCTATCTCCCCCTAGGGAGTGACACGCTGATCTTTCCCGGCTAAAACAGGAGACACACCGGTGAAGGTTGGAATAATTTTATAACATTACAGCGTAATAAGCGTGTCGGATCTAAAAGGCTTGTATAAAAGTTGTGATAAAGCTGTTTTTAAGAACATTGACTTATTATTATTATTATTATTATAAATGACTATTTAAAAAAGGCACTTTCTATACAGAAATGTAAGAAAGAATGTCATTGAAAATATCAATAATGACATACACAAATGTAACTCCGTTAAACCAAAAATAAAATTATCCAGACATTTTCTACAGTAACCAAAGTCTCCGATATAACGAATTACATCATTAACCGACATATGATGACACAGCATTTGTTGTTCTTTACGGTTACCTACCTGTAGCGACGCTACAATCAGTGCCGCCGATACCAGGACCACATATGCAAATGAACCCCCCGTCGACACTTTCATCTTCAACACACGTACCGCCATTTTTACAGGGTCTAGGTAAGCAACCTACGAAAAGAAAATACAATATAGCTTACGTGATCGTCAACGTAGATAAGCTTAAAATGTCTCTTTGTTTGTTTTCCTTTGATAATTTTGATTTTCAAAAAGGTAAACTAAAGTAGGATTCGAACTCAACATCAATGAAGCAATTCCTTTAGAATATTTGTGAATAGAACAGGAAGAGTATGATATACCGAATTTATACCTTAAAATCAAAGGGGATTGGAAAAGCTTCAAAGCAAGTTTGTTTAAAAGTTGTTTATTCCGTGAGGTAACTTGAGTGTAAATTTAGATTGTCTGTTGCTTACAAAAATACCATTTAAATGACGACATGTATCATATTGAAATGTCATCAGCCTTTAAAAGTGCTGATCATTTAAAAGCGACAGTTTGTTTTAATGCATTCTCTGGTCAATATTTAGGGGGGTTGTTTTCCCGGTCTTCTAGACCTCATGTGTTGGATTATAAGCCTCTTTCATGTACATGAGTGTGGAATAGGGAAGTTCCACCATTGGGGTTTTGAAACTGCAATTCCCGAGGCTTACAATAATGTTTAGGAAGGGAGGGGGGGGGGGGCTATTTACAAAAGCACTTGTCTTACAGAAAAAAAACCACGTAATGAACAAAATTAATTGGTTTATTGACAAACAAAATTCAATATTTNCGGGGGGGGGGGGGGGGGGGGGGCTATTTACAAAAGCACTTGTCTTACAGAAAAAAAACCACGTAATGAACAAAATTAATTGGTTTATTGACAAACAAAATTCAATATTTACTCAGGGTATACTATGTTATAGTCTCATATACTTGTATTTCTCCCTGGTGAAAAAACAATCAAATTAATATCAAAAGTCATGATATAACTGTTTCATGATAATTTATATCGTAAGTACCTGATTTAAAGGCTGTGACAGTCATAGAGAAGCCCATCGTTGCGGTTTGTGCCGATCCTGTGGTTGTATCCCATATGACTGTGGCTATGTGTGACTCGGAATTTGCACCACTTAGAAATGTTTTAGTGATATCTGTTGTACCACAAAAGCTACGACAAAAGGATCACACTTGATATACATGAATGCATATAGTATCATGTCTCATTGAACGATGTTTTATTCTCAATGCATTTTAGGAAACACTAATATATGTGTTTTTAATAAACTCTTAAGAATGTGATCTGGAGCCAATCCTAGTACCTCAAACATTAACACCAATTATAGTTGCAGTCATATTACCATAAACAATTAAACACGTGTTGTAGACTTAATCATAGACTCATAAACAACTAAACACGTGTTGCAGACCAAATCATAAAACCATTAACAATTAAACACGTGTTGCACACCCAATCATAAAACCGTAAGAAATTAACAAGTGTTGCAGACCCAATTACAGAACCATAAACAATGAAACACGTGTTACAGACCCAATCATAAAACCATATACAATTAAACACGTATTGTACACCCAATCATAAAATCATATACAATTAAACGAGTGTTGTAGACCTAATCACAGCACCAAAAACAATTAAACACGTTTTGCCCACCCACTCATAAAACCATAAACAATTAAACACGTGTTGCAGACTCAATTACAGAACCATAAACAATTAAACACGTATTGTACACCCAATCATAAAATCATATACAATTAAACGAGTGTTGCAGACCTAGTCACAGCACCATAAACAATTAAACACGTATAGCAGACACAATCATAAAACCATGAATAATTGAACAAGGTTTGCAGACTCAATTATAGAACCATAAACAATTAAACACGTGTTGCAGACCCAACCATACAACCATAAACAACTTAACACGTATTGTACACCCAATCATAAAACCATATACAATTAAACGAGTGTTGGAGACCTTATCACAGCACCATAAACAATTAAACACGTAAAGCAGACACAATCATAAAACAATAAATAATTGAACACGTATTGCAGACCCAATCATAGAACCATGAACAATTAAACATGCAAAATATTACTAATATTTATGTTTGCGTCAGTACTTGAACAACCTTTTATGACCAATGAATTTTACGAAACGCATATATATGTGTTTTAAATGAACAATGAAACACGTGTACTAGACCAAGTCACAGTACCACAAATAGTTAAACTTGTGTTCTAGACCAAGTCACGGTATAACAAATAATCAAACTTGTTTTCTAGACCAAGTCACAGTACCACAAACAATTAAACACGTGTTCTAGATCAAGTCACAGTACAGAAAATAATAAAACTTGTGTCTAGACCAAGTCACAGTACCACAAACAATTAAACTTGTGTTCTAGACCAAGTAACAGTAGCGCAAACAATTAAACACGTGTTTTAGACCAAGTGACAGTACAACAAATAATCAAACTTGTGTTCTAGACCAAGTAACACTGCCATAAACAATTAAACGTGTGTTCTAGACAAATTCACAGTACCAGTTTAATTAAACGTGTGTTCTAGACAAACTCACAGTACTAGAAATAATTAAACTTGTTCTAGACTCAGTCATTGCACCACAAACGATTTCCACATAATCATTATACTAAATTATGCAAAACCATTACCCATACAAACCTCGTGGAGGTAATTCTCGTGTTAAACTTACCGCGGACCTGTTTCTCCTACAAGATGGTAACGGATTTGCAGTGTGTCGATACAGTCAGAACTTCCTTTTGCGATGTCCATTTTGTTAAGTTCAAACTTAATTCTTGACCCGACAGATGCCTAGAAATCAAACGCTAACAATAAGGCATCGACATAAGTAATATCAGCACATATGTGAATAACACAAGTTTATGTTAATTTAATGTATACACGTTTTTTTTCTGTATGTCGTGCATTTTTACAGTTTTCAGCGAAATTTTATAAACGATAACAGTAGATTTTTTTAAAGAGTTCATCTCGGTGTAAAAATATCGTTTTAAAATTTTGTTGAAATATATAACCAAAACAATGTCACTTGAATAATTCGTCTTACATCTTGCACATCGCCCAAATTGTAAAAGAACTAACACAGAATTCTGTTATACATGTATTATGTAAATGTTCGATTAAAAAAGCATCAGTTGTCTTCGGAAAATTCAATAATAAAGAGTAGAAATGCATGCGACATAGACGAAAAATATCTGTAAGCTAGTATCCGGCACGGGACAGCGCATGATTGTGGAGATACGCCGCACAGTTAACTTCGTTTTCACTTATTCATCTATACTATTTACCTAACAACATATATATAACATCATCTAATAGTTACATACATAATCATGCTATATACGGTGTTTATTATTATCTAACGTAGACGTCACATTCACAGGCTTTATTGTGAAGATGCCTATAGCGCACGATTAAATATTTACAATCGTGAAATAAACGAGCGCGATGTCAGATCAATGCATTGGCGTTACTGTTTGTATACCACGTCTCCAATGGTGACTACAAACATCTTATAGCTGATGAAAACCTAGCTATCCTTTTGGATTATTTTGCATGATTCGGTATAACCGAACAAAAAATGTCTGACAAAACTACGGTATAATTTCGTTACTTTTATAACACATAATTGACCAAAATATCAGGATTTATTTCATTTTTGTTTGATCGATTTAATCAATTGATACCAACTAATGTGTTAAAACTGAAGCATTTACTATTACATATCCGTATCATACATGTTTGTACAAAGATGGCAAGCATGTGAGCAGGTGGTTGTGACAAACAACACATATATATGATGAGGGATAACTAAGTATTAAACTGATAGGATTTCAAAACTCGGGTGGAAACGATATACATCATTTATTTGGAATGTAATTTACCTTGATCAAATAAACACATTTTTCGCCCGTGCTGTAAGTATTAGGATAGTTCGGGGATTGAATCACGTCATTTCCATTTTCACCTAAAGTGATGGTTCTACTGCATTGCGCTAAAAATAATAATAAACATGCATTGAAAACGCAAATAAACAAAATAAAAAGGCAAAACAACGTCCAAACAAACATTGATATGCAACACGTAAGTGACAAAACGTATTTGCCAATTTATAAAACAATTATCATACAAACATAAGTGATGACGGTCAATTATCATTCAAACATAAGTTATGACGATCAATTATCATTCAAACATAAGTTATGACGATCAATTATCATTCAAACAAAAGTTATGACAGCTTATTATATTCAAATGTAATTGGGGACTTCTGATTTTGATATAAAATATTAGGTTTTTTGGCTATCAGATGTTGCTCATTTTTGTAATCCCTTAAATACCATGAGACGCTAGCTTGTTGTACTAAATTCTATGACTGACCGTCCCCCTGTAGCTCCTCGCACGTTGAGCCAGTGATATGCTCCGGACACACACACGAACACACTGAATTAGTTACAGTTTTTGTAGCAAATCCTTCGTTCTGACAGGCAAGGCTACCACAATCTGTAAACATAAACCAAGGCATCAACAGAGTATCAGTGAGCCTACATGACTTCATTTGGCATGATTCAATGCAAACTTACGGAGTGCAATCCTTATAAAATGGAACTTGTTTCCCGACATGTTTTACCTATTGTATGTATAGCTGTGACAAAGAGAGATCTACTGTACTAAATGGTATATTTTTTTGTTTATATGTTGTCGACGTTGTGGTATATGTTTTACTCTGTTGACTTTGTGCTATATGTCTTACTGTGTTGACGTTGTGGTATATGTTTTACTGTGTTGACGTTGTGGTATATGTTTTACTGTATTGACGTTGTGGTATATGTTTTACTGTGTTGACGCTGTGGTATATGTTTTACTGCGTTGTCGCTGTGGTATATGTTTTACTGTGTTGACGTTGTGGTATATGTTTTACTGTGTTGACGTTGTGGTATATATTTTACTGTGTTGACGTTGTGGTTTATGTTTTCACTCTGTTGACGTTGTGGTATATGTTTTACTGTGTTGACGCTGTGGTATAGCGTATATCTGTGTTGAGGCTGTGGTATATCTTGTACTTATCTTTTGGTTCAGTGTGTTGTCGCTGTGGTAAAATTGGCCCCTATCCGTTCTCGTTTTTGGCATGTTTTGTGTCTATGTGTGGATGGTATGTTTAATTTTAATTACCTGTTAGACACTGAAGTATTTGTTTTTAAATATCATTCTAACTGTGTGATTTAAAAAAAAAAATCAATGTATAAATTTTATATAAAAATATCAGTGCTTCATAAAAGAATACATATTTTTAGCGTACCTTTTCCACATTCGTAGACTTTTGTGATGGCTTTATGATCGTAGAATGAAAGGTCGTTTTTCGTTTCTTCAGACAGAAATTCTATATTTTTGTCGAAAATGGACATGGTTTCCTTTGTATCTTTTCTAAATATCTACAAAACAAAGATTTCATATTGGAGATTATAATAGAATCAAAATATTTAATTAACCTTCATTAGCAGAATCATACGCTATAATTTTAACACGAAACCATATTCATGAACACTCTATACAAATGTAACCATTTGTTCAATCTGTCTGCCTTAGTAGTTAGGAGATCATTAACACCAACTCATCCTTACTCATAGTATGTCAGGCGTCTCAGAGAAATGAAATCAATTCGTATCCTTTACATTCGAGTCAAGATGGTATAAAAGGTAATAGAAATGGAAATCGAACAGCCAACAGAACAGTCAATTGTCATTTAATCTTGAAAAAGAGAACAGAAATCTGCCAAATACAAATTTTAAACCCATTGTGCGATCTGCACAAACGATGCTCCATCGGTAACGGCAACATTCTTTTTTGAAGTGCAACCATGATTAAAGACTTGTCTAACCAGTCTGAAAGATGGGAAAGAGAGAACATTGTTCTCGGCTCCGTACATGTCGTATTGTATCGTCTGAATAGAGGAGATACAACTTTATGGCACGCATGTGAATTCCCATTAGCAATGGAGCATTCATATTTTTATAGAATATCCAGTCACTGGTATGAAAACCATTGTTTTATAAGCCGACAAGGAGTCATTGTAAAATGTGAAAAATAGTACATTGTTCTTTTCTTTTGACTCTGATACCTTTTACAGACATGCCTTGTTATATAATACAACACTAACTATGATTTAATACAACAATACATGTAACTATACATCACATTTCTTTTTATTTCAGTTACGCATTTGATACTGAACACAATAGGATTTTCTACTTTTATCCCCTTGTCCTTTTGAATTTGTCTTCAGCTACTCTACTAACTTTGACCTTTATTTTGACCAACTCAATACCAACGTCACAGTGTTGATAGACGGGGATTATTTTTTTATAATGTTGCACATTACAGGTACAAATCGTAAATAAATAACTTACAAATCGAGAGTACATGAGTACAGATTCCAGACTCAATGGGATTGAAGATGCCGCGAACACATCATCCGAATCTGTTATAAAGTTGGGAGAAGCACCAGCCTGTAGACTATTCCACTGTATTTTCAAATGCTCATGGCGGTCGCGGCGTGACTGTTCATGGTGACCATCTATCACATGCAGGAATTCATGCAGAACCACATAAAACTAGCAGATGAAAAGTAAACGTGTGAGAAGTTAAATGTAATAATAGCATGAACATTGATAAATTGAAATGTTACATTTGCCTGATTGGAACAGAGAAAAGTCAATCCCAATGGGTGATTTATTTGGTTGTCTAACCCTTCGTTTCAACCTCCAGGTAGGGGATGATTATTTTTCTCCCGTCATTCCAATACTTTATTTAAAAACAATACTCTTCAGCATTTATAAGTTGTTCCTTATCCTGATTAGCACATGAACCCTCTACTGTAAGTATATGATTATGACGTCATATCTTATTGTTCCCGTGACATCACAGAATTGATATCCAGGAGATGGGGAGGGGGCAGAGAAACCATGCCCTATCGGGTGACAAGAGGTAAAACGGGAGATAATTCCGTCACAGACGGGAGAAATGATATTCAGCTGCGATTTGAATTTGCTATCTAATCTCAGCGTATGGAAGATACTCGTGTCCGAACGTTGTTAGATAACTATCAGAAAAAGGTTAACCAGTTAAGCCCTAGTTCAAGAACTACATTCTTTTGAAAATCCTAACCAGAAAGCGCCGAAGAAAACGTGTATGCGTTTTTGCTCACCTGGCCCGATTTGTAATCATAATTGTTATTTATGTATTGCCTCTCGATGGGTCCTTGATTTGGTGAATCTTGTAGTATTTAACTTATGTTGGTTGCATGTGTCTTACATGACCAAGTCTAGTAGTCTCTCAATAGGAAGATGTATGTTTCCTGACTAGAAACATTACTACCATTGATACTATTATAAAATCAATGTATAAGTCATTTTCTACTGATCAAACATTACATGCATTGCCTTTTACAGCATTACCATTGTAATAAATTTGAGTATTTTGGTAACATACAGACAATTTATAAAAAAAAAAATGAAAAGCAGAAAATGAAAGAGGTCGATCACGGAACCTTTACAATAACAATTCGAAACTTCACCACTGTTGTCATTCAGTAAATCTTTTTGCACGTTATAAAAATGAAAGATAAATACCCTACAATGGGAGGTTATCCGACAGTAGAAAAACTCGCTCTATGATGCTTTATCTTCTCCTTTCACTTTTACCTGCAGATTAATTGTTTAGTATCGTGTCTGACGTGCTGAGAGTGAGTTTTTTTATATCAATATTACACTGGACGAGGGGAAATGTCTACTGCCTAACGCGGTTGGCCATCACTCTTGCAGAGAACGCTTAGTAAAATTTTGCAACTAAACATTCTGTTTGGCGTGATAAACGTAGTCAATCACTTAAGTTAATGAGATATAGACATTCTATCAAATAAATTAGACTTGAGAGTCTTAAACCTTGAACAAGCCTCAATTCTGAATCAACTTTGTGAACCATGAAAAACCGAGTGACGTTTAATTGTTCAAGTACTTACAGAATTACAACCCTGATTGATGTTCAAGTTGAAATGGATTGGAGTCGGTTGCCCTGAGAACCTGCCTACACCTGCGGAACACCTGTAATCAAGCATTGAAATCAACGCAACTTCATGAGCGATATTTTAAAACATGTTCAATGAAAAGCATTATAAACAATGTGAAATATTCATAAGGTATATGTTAATGTTTACAACCCTTACGTTAACCACCAGGTACCATCCATTTATAAACTAGTAACAATATACAATTGTTTCATGGCTATTTTGAGAACAGTCGAAATTATTATACCTCTTATGAGTTTTCCTTATATAAAAATATACGATAAAATCTGCTATTTCCCTTAAATCACTTAAATCTCTCCAGCTGAGAGCGTCTCCCCCCCCCCCCCCCCCCCCCAAATAAGGACTACTTCCTGCAAGAAAGAGGACTTCTCCCTCATGAATATTTGTAGGCGGAGCTTATAAGTTTTCAACCAATGAAAACATTGGTAGGCGGGGCCTCCTCCGTGACGCTCGTGACGTCACATTTTCAGAAACAAATGACAACAGTGACAATGACCACCGATGAAGGCCGTTTTGTTGTGGTAAAGAGGAGTTACAGCAGATTTTGGACGCTAAACGTAGCTTAAATACAAAAGCTGTTATAAAGACTGCAGTGAATTTACTTCAAACTTGTTTAACAGAACAGAATGCCGAGAGCATCGACGAGTAGGGTCAAGCAGGCTCTTTTAAAAAAAAGTGGATGGGACTAGATCTAGATATGGTAGGAAAACAATGGTGACTATGAGATTCAGTCTATAAAAACACTTCTTGAATGCTAGATTTGAAGATATCATCAATCATCAACGACGATGCATACAGTACTTCCAATGGTATTTTTTTCTCCTTCAGTCTTTGAAATTGAAAAAGGAAATGAAAAAATAAATTCATTTGTTAAATTGCCTTTACTGGGTGAATAATTTGTTTCGTTATAATAAAACAGTTATAGAATGGGTAATTCGCAAAATAGCAAATGTATGGTCACCCTTGGTGAAAAACTATTCCCCTCGACGGCTTCGCCGCCTTGGGAATAGTTTTTCACCTCAGGGGACCATAAATGTGCTATTTCCCTCATACCCATTTTATAACTGTATACTATCATCCCGAGGTAGGGGGAAGCGGGCAAACAGTTCCACAGGGCTTCCCCCTACCGAGGGGTGGTGGTGTTGACTGTTCCCCAAATAGCATTATTACCAAATGCATATTAGTATCAATGCTGTTTGTAATGATGTTAATTTGTTTAAAAATCGTCTGCGTAACCATCACTGAGTCGCGGTCACCAAAACGCTTGAATGAGCCACTCGAGGGGGGAATTCTGCGCATCGAATATGCGCCGGGTAACAGTTCGCTCTGACCTAGAAAACAGTTTTCGGAATTTGGAACTGTTCCATTCTTCCCGTTATACTGTTACAGTCATCGAGCCGCAATCAAGACGTGACGTCGAATTCAAATTATGACTGAGATTTAAGAATAGTTTCCTAATGATGTTTTTCCCTTCATAGATTTGGTAGCCAAAGACAATCAAACATTGTTTATGCAAACAAGCCTGTTGCGTAATTTTGTTAAATTTTTTGTTTTTCATATATTATGGACCTAACCAAATCATCCCGAAAGATGTAATTACCTATGTATACTATGTATATATAAACTATTTTGTTTATGATTTAAGAAAATGACTAAGTTTTCCCCCAACACTCACTATTTATTTATTTATTTTGCCTTTCTGTGTAAAACTGATCAGTGTTCTAGACGTTTAGATTGTTCGAAGATTTAAAAAGTATCTTACAGTAAGTTTGATTCTGCATTAATTATGGAATATTCAAATTTCTCCATATTAATTATAAAGGAAGAATGGTGAACGTTTGATTTAACAAAAAAAAATCTGGACATTAACAGAAAAGAACATATATGTTATTGGTGAGAATTTTGGGGAATTAATATTTTGTTGGTGATGATTTTGGGGAATTTCTATTATAAGTAAGGATGAATTCATATTGTATTGGTGAGGATGATAGGGAATTAATATTCTATTGGTTAGGGTGTACGTGATTTAATATTTTATCAGTAAGGATGTTGGGGAATTAATATTTTATTAGTAAGAATGTTGGGGAGTTAATATTTTATAAGTAAGGATTTAGGGGAAAAAATATTTCATTGGTTACGGTGTACGGGAATTAATAATCTATTAGTGAGGATTTTGGGGAATTAGTATTTAAATGGTGAGGATTTCGGGAATTTATATCATGTAAGAGAGGTTGTTGGGGAATCGATATTTTATTGGTGAATTTAGAGAATAAATATTTTATTTTGTAAGGATGTTGGGGAATAAATATTTTAATTGTGAGAATGCTAGGGAATTAATATTTTATTGGTGAGGGTATGGAAATCAATATTTTATCGGTAAGGAATTTGTGGAATTAATATTTTATTGGTGAGGATGTTTGGGAATTGATATTTGATATGTGAAGTTTTTAGGGAATTATTTTTTTTATTGGTGAGGATTTTGGGAAATTAATATTTTATTGGTAAGGGTTGGGAATTAACATTTTATTGGTAAGGATTTTGTTGAATTTATATTTTATTAGTGAGGAGATTGGGTATTTGATTTTTTTATTATTGAGGAGATTTGGTATTTGATTTTTGTATTAGTGAGGATTTTGGGGAATTACTATTTCATTGGTGAGTATTTGGGGGAATTATTATTTTATTAGCAAGTAGATTGTGGAATAATTTTTCTATTGGTGAGGATTTTGAGGAATTAATATTGTATTTGTAAGGATGTTTGGGAATTAATATTTTATTGGTGAGGATTTTGGGGAATTTATATTTTATTAGTGAGGAGATTGGGTATTTGATTTTTTTATTGGTGAGGATTTTGGGGAATGAATATTTTATTAGTGTGTAGATTGGGGAATAACTTTTGTATTGGTGAGGATGTTAGGGGATTAATATTTTAATGGTGAGGATTTTGGGGAATTCATATTTAATTAGTGACGATATACGGGAATTTCTCTTTTATTGGTGAGGATTTTGGGGAATTAATATTTCGTTGGTGAAGAAGTTGGGGATTTAATATTTAATTGGCGTGGGGGTTGGGGATTTAATGTTTTATTAGTGAGGGTGTTGGGGAATTAATATCATATTGGCGAGTATGTTAGGGAACCAATCATTTATTGGTGAGGATGTTGGGGAATTAATAGTTTATTGGTGAGGGTGTTTTTGGGTCCATACCCTACTCACTAACATTCAAAACGACAAATGGTTGATACTTTCTGAAGAAATAATCTTCTGAAATGCCATTAAAATATTACATCAGCAAGAAATTGCCTGAATAATTTAAATGTGTGCCCTGGATAAATTTGTTTTTAAATTGTATTCATTTCCGAGTTCAGTTATTTTTTATGAGTTCGTTATTATAAAGTTTATCAAGTTACAATAATGTCATACTTACCCGCCAGAGGTATCGCCTGTGATTTTAACGTATTCCGCTCCGTCCGCTCCGTCTCTTTCTCTCACATTCAGACAGGTTTTGGTTTTGAACAAATTCGCCGCGGCGTTAATATATCCGGGAATGGAGCTTTGCGTTACGTCAGAATCTGAGCTTCCTTCGAAAAAGTTTACTGATTGAAAAGAAAAGAGATACTTATCAGGCAAATATCTACATAACACTAGTTGCTGTAACGTAATATTGAAAATAAAGGTTTATCTATACTATATATGTGTTTAAGCGGTGTTCAATTTTAACGTTTCCGTGAAGGTTTACATCCAACGACATTAATGGCAAATCTATCAATTTTACCGTAGTGTTATGTGCCATGACAGTTAGAACCGAAATCAGCGAAACATAGATCTTTTGAAATTTGCCATTTCAGAAAATCCGCAAAATAAAACTGATCGCGAAAATAATACTTGACAGTATGCTTTAAATGGGTTTTTTTTATCTTTATGAGTTACAATTTGTGCGTATGAGACCAATGAAACAGCTCTCTTCGTACCTTCAATTTTGCTATGACATATTTCAGGGGTGCAGAGAACGAAAGTGAACGAAATCCCTGGATATTGCGGAGGCTGTAGCGGTTTGAGTAAGCCTAATCAGTAAGTGTATTTGGGCCTATGGTTTGTTTTAGTTTTTGTATTTTCTTTATAACCGTCAATGATTATATTACTGTAAATAAATGTTTTATGTATAATTATGTTAATTTCGATGTACAAATTTAGTACACATTTTCAAAGTCTACAAAAAAGATTGATATATGCGAAAGCTACAGTAAAAAGTGGAGATTCACTTTCTAGTCCACAAAAAGTAAAATTGTATTGTTTTCAGACAAACGTACATTACATAATGTACAAAATGTCTACCTATACAAACGTACTGCCAGTTGCTGAAGAAATTGAAGAAGTTGGAATATTGTTAAATGACAGAAGAAATGCAATTGAAAGATGGAGCGTGTAGCAGGTTCAAATATGGTACTATGTCACTACTTAGGTCCGGTGCTCATCCGTGCGCGCTCAAATATCTCACTGTTGCTAAGTTGATAAAACTAAAAGTTTACCCGTCTGCCTTCTATGGTGTGAACTTTGGTTGGTTTCTAAAACGGAAGAATTAATGTTGGAAAGAGCACAGAACTATATTGTAAAATGTATACAAGGGTTTGAAAAAAGAACCAGGACCGATATATGTAATTCATTACTAGTCTGGACAAGTATTGCGTCTTATATTGATATTAAGAAATTATTATTTTTGAGACGATTATATAGATTATACACTAGTACACAGAATATTTGTCACTAGATTGTTTTATGTTCGATGTAAATGATGGGAATCCATATGGATTTATACCAGATATTATATGTATCCTTAGAAAATATTTCTGTACGATATCTTTGTTTATTATATCAAATGAGGTGCATATCCAGGAAAAAGACAGTGGAAAACAGTTGTATATAAAAAATGTACATCAAACCGAAGAAAATGCATGGTTACAATGTATGTCAGATGACAACGATTTTGTACGATTCATGTCCATTCACCATAGGCTCGAGTCACATCACTTATGGAAATTAGCTGCAAAGTATCAACAGTATTCTAAATCTATACACTGTATCTTAATAGTATGTGTGTCGTATGTCAAAACTCATAGATTTATGTCATTATTGTGGGAAACTCTATTATGATACTGTTACACATATTATTTTACATTGTGACAAAGCTACTGAAGTAAGAGAGAAATTATGGTGCCATTTAACTAGTTTATGTGATATACAACTCAATGTTTATTTGCATAATTTACCAGATTTTGATTTGACTAATACCCTGTTAGGAAGTGAATGAAATGAAAAGCTGTCATCACAAGATTATAAACAATTAAGATTAGGAATAATAACACATGTGTATCAAATGTTAAAAACTTACTACAAATCGTCTGATTATAATTATATTTAAAGGGACTGGTCGGGAAAAAAATGTCATATTTGCTAAAATGGCATACACATGTTTAAAATACCTTCTTATGAAATATACCGATTCAAATTTTGCTGAAATTCACTCCCTAAGAGTAAAAATTATAATTATATTAAAAAAATCCTAAATCCTCACTTGACAGTCTAAAACTCTCAATTGACCCAGATCAGTGTATAATTTTACCGCATGCGCGTCATCAACAAGGCCAAATGTAAACATCGCGGCGAAAGAAAAAGATGCATGCAAAAGTCATGACAGGCACAAGGTATCAATACCGTTATATATAACAACAACATATAGGTAGGAATACTACACTTGCACCATGCATGACCTTTGAAAACAATTATTTACGTATAGTATTGCTGTCTTGTCCGCTAGTTGAGTCCGACATGGCTGATAGACGGCGTGCTATCTCACTTTCGAAACAACCACGTGTCATATATAAATAGATCTGCGCTAAATTTACGCGGGGCTTCCCCGAGATTTCAGTGGTCAAAACTTTTGGAGGGCCAGAGAACGCATTTAGACCCATTTGTTTTGTATTTTTTCCCCCGACCAGCCCCTTTAAGCAACGATGCCCTTACATTGTACAACTCCCTTCTCTTATAACATATTTATGTACACATTATAATAACGATACCTTGTACTTTTTCAAGGTCATTGTATGTGCAAATATCTATATATGTTGATTCATTTTTATATGTAACTATTCTGTTTTTGTTATCATCATTTTAGAGGAAATAAAGAGAATAATAATAATTATTATTTCAATAATTCAGTGATGTAAAATCCTACTCGAATTCAAATCTATTATATATGCAGCTCATTATCAATAGAATCATGTGTTATTGCTTTCAGATATTGACGTGTAAACAGTGTTTCTGTAAATCGTGTAGGAGTCCGAATCCAACACAATGATTAAGGAGGCAAGACCCAAATCGGATCACTTTTTGCAAAAAATACTTATGAATCAATAAATGTGTAAACAGATTAGTAATAGCAATGATATAGCCTTAGAACAGATAGCCAAACAAAATCAATTAAAACTCAAAAGTCTGTGTTTAATTTACTTTTTGAAAATTGCGCGTGCGACGGTTTTGAATTATAGGAATAAATTCACCCTATAGAAATACTTGTTGTTACATAAATTTCAAAGGTCATCATAAAATCTTAAAATGTTGACAACATGAAGTGTAAGATACTGCAAATTTCAAGCCTTGAACCGATTTGGGTCCTGACAGTTGTTTTGTAAGAATAACCATCCATATTCTTTCTATTGATACAACCATAAATGAATATAATTCCTCCTTAGAATTTTCAATGAATGAATAAAATAAGGGTTTGGTGATCCGATTTAGGTACTGTCACCTTAGGTACATGTACATGATGTATGTACATACATAGTTCGGTGGCGTCGTATGGGATGTCTCCTCCATCCCATTTTCCAGAACTTGACGTGTCGATGTGTCTTTTAGTTCCCCCTAGGTCTTGTTTCTATTAAAACGTATATTGACAAAAGACAACGCTCATAAAATTGCTTAACATTATAACAAAGATTATAAAGGCAATCACGTGCAGTATGATACCAGACATAATATGTAAGTATTTGACATAGCGTAGAAAAGAATCGAAGGTCTTTGCTCTGTATCCTCAAACGAAGTTTGATTTCTGATTCGGAATTGTTTACTAATATAATATAGCAACGATTTATATATTATAAAATAAAGTTCTAATATTTTCTTTCCTGTTTCACAAACAGACAGAGGAGGGTATCCAGATAAAGGAGGCTCGCCAGACATAGGAGGTTATCAAGATAGAGGAGGTTATCCAGATAGAGGAGGCTCTCCAGACAGAGGAGGTTATCCAGATAAAGGAGGTTATTCAAATAGAGGCGGTAATCCAGAAAGAGAAGGCTCTCCGGTTAGAGGAGGTTATCTAGATAGAGGTGGCTCTACAGATATAAGAGGTTGTCCAGATAAAGGGGATTCTCTAGAAAGAGAAGGTTCTCCAGATAAAGGTGACTCTAGAAAGAAGAGTTTTCCAGAAAAAGGAGGTTCTCCAGAAAGAGGAGGGACTCCAGATAGATGAGGTTCTCCAGAAAGAGGTGGTTATCCATATATAAAGGAGGGAAACCAGATAAAAGAGGTTCTCCAGTTGAAGGAAGGACTCCAGATAGAGGAGTTTCTCCAGATAGAGTAGGTTCTCCAGATAGAGGAGGGACTCCAGATAGAGGAGGTTCTCCAGATAGAGGAGGGACTCCAGATAGAAATGGTTCTCCAGAAAGAGGAGGGACTCCAGATAGAGGAGGTTTTCCAGATAGAGGAGGTTATCCCGATAGAGGAGGGACTCCCGATAGAGGAGGGACTCCAGATAGAGGAGGGACTCTAGATAGAGGAGTTTCTCAAGATAGAGGAGAGACTCCAGATAGAGGAGGGACTCCAGATTGAGAAGGTTCTCCAGATAGAGGAGGTTCTTCAGATAAAGGAGGTTCTCCAGATAGAGGAGGTTCTCCAGATAGAGGAGGTTCTCCAGACAGAGGAGGTTCTCCAGATAAAGGAGGTTATCCAGATTGAGGAGGGACTCCAGATAGAGGAGGTTCTCCAGAAAGAGGAGGTTCTCCAGACAGAGGAGGTTCTCCAGATAAAGGAGGTTCTCCAGATAGAGGAGGGACTCCAGATAGTGGAGGTTATTCAGATAGAGGAGGTTCTCCAGATAGAGGGGAGACTCCAGATAGAAATGGTTCTCCAGATAGAGGAGGTTCTTCTCCAGATAGAGGAGGGACTCCAGATAGAGGGGAGACTCCAGATAGAGGAGGCTGCTAGATAGAAGAAGTTCTCCAGATAGAGGAAGGACTCCAGTTATAGGGATTTAACGGCACAGAACGAGTGTAACTTTAAACATTATTTCAATGCCTCTTCGAATCTTTTATTTACGTATAAAAATGTCTCCCCTAATTTTAACAACGGTGCAAATCAAATTTTAGAGATTAAAATGTTTAACTGTTTACACAAATTAGATCAGCTAATTAGTCCTCGTTCATCACCAGATTATCAGGACATGTGCGTATCCATAGTATTCTACTATTTTATAATGATTCCTTAACACTGTGCTTACCGGTTGTGTTTTATGACCGTCTTGCATGTTTGGGAGCGGGTTGCCACTGCCATTGCCTTGTGCCTTGAAGAAACAAGCATGTTGAATTAACATGTTGAATTAAGGTAGGATTTATTTAGTACATCAATAAAATTAACGTTGAGACATACAGGAATTATTATTAATTTAATTGTCAGGTACAATAGAGTATTGAGATAAAAAAATATAAAAATTATGAACGTCACCAACAGTTGAGATAAAGTTACGAATATGTGTGCGGTAACAAGATGACATAAAAAAGAACTGCTATTTGAAGTTAGTTTTGCTAGGATATCATAAAAAAACACTAATGCATATGGTCCACAAACTATTATAGTATAGGACAAGGAATTTCAGGTTCTGAGTAGTTTTGTCATTTTACGTCTAATATGATTATAGATAGTGAGGTGACGTTACGTCTAATATGATTATAGATAGTGAGGTGACGTTACGTCTATTATGATTGTGGTCAGTGAGGTAACGTTACGTTTATTATGATTGTGGTCAGTGAGGTAACGTTATGTCAATCATGATTGTGGTCAGTGAGGTAACGTTACGTTTATTATGATTGTGGTCAGTGAGGTAACGTTACTTTTATGATGATTGTGGTCAGTGAGTTAACGTAACATCTATTGTGATTGTGGTCGGTGAGGTAACATTATGTCTAGTATGATTGTGGTCAGTGAGGTAACGTTACTTTTATGATGATTGTGGTCAGTGAGTTAACGTCAATTATGATTGTGGTCAGTGAGGTGACGTTATGTCTATTATGATTGTGGTCAGTGAGGTAACGTTATGTCTATTATGATTGTGGTCAGTGAGGTGACGTTAGGTCTAATATGATTATAGATAGTGAGGTGAAGTTACGTCTATTATGATTGTGGTCAGTGAGGTGATGTTACGTCTATTATGATTGTGGTCAGTGAAGTAACGTTAAGTCTTTTATGATTGTGGTCAGTGAGGTAACGTTACGTCTAATATGATTATGGTCAGTGAGGTAACGTTACGTCTATTATTATTGTGGTCAGTGAGGTAACGTTACGTTTATGATGATTGTGGTCAGTGAGTTAACGTAACATCTTTTGTGATTGTGGTCGGTGAGGTAACATTATGTCTAGTATGATTGTGGTCAGTGAGGTAACGTTACGTTTATTATTATTGTGGTAAGCGAGGTAACGTTACGTCTATTATGATTGAGTGAGGTGACGTTACGTCAATTATGATTGTGGACAGTGAGGTGACGTTACGTCTAATATGATTATAGATAGCGAGGTGACGTTAAGTCAATTATGATTGTGGTCAGTGAGGTGACGTTATGTCTATTATGATTGTGGTCAGTGAGGTGACGTTATGTCTATTATGATTGTGGTCAGTGAGGTAACGGTATGTCTATTATGATTGTGGTCAGTGAGGGAACGTTATGTCTATTTTGATTGTGGTCAGTGAGGAAACGTTATGTATATTATGATTATGGTCAGTGAGGTAACGTTACGTCTATTATGATTGTGGTCGGTGACGTAGCGTTACGTCTATTATTATTGTGGTCAGTAAGGTAGCGTTACGTCTATTATTATTGTGGTCAGTAAGGTAGCGTTACGTCTATTATTATTGTGGTCAGTGAGGTATTATAGATAGTGAGGTGACGTTACGTCTAATATGATTATAGATAGCGAGGTGACGTTAAGTCAATTATGATTGTGGTCAGTGAGGTGACGTTATGTCTATTATGATTGTGGTCAGTGAGGTGATGTTACGTCTATTATGATTGTGGTCAGTGAGGTGATGTTACGTCTATTATGATTGTGGTCAGTGAGGTAACGTTATGTCTATTATGATTGTGGTCAGTGAGGAAACGTTATGTCTATTATGATTATGGTCAGTGAGGTAACGTTACGTCTATTATGATTGTGGTCAGTGAGGTAACGTTACGTCTATTATGATTGTGGTAAGTGAGGTAACATTGCGTCTATTATGATTTTGGTCAGTGAGGTAACGTTATGTCTATTATGATTGTGGTCAGTGAGGTGACGTTATGTCTATTATGATTGTGGTCAGTGAGGTGACGTTACGTCTATTATGATTGTGGTCAGTGAGGTAACGTTACGTCTATTATGATTGTTGTCAGTTAGGTGACGTTACGTCTTTTATGATTGTGGTCAGTGAGGTAACATTGCGTCTATTATGATTGTGGTCAATGAGGTAACGTTATGTCTATTATGATTGTGGTCAGTGAGGTGACGTTATGTCTATTATGATTGTGGTCAGTGAGGTAACGTTACGTTTATTATGATTGTGGTCAGTGAGGTAACGTTATGTCAATCATGATTGTGGTCAGTGAGGTAACGTTACGTTTATGATGATTGTGGTCAGTGAGTTAACGTAACATCTATTGTGATTGTGGTCGGTGAGGTAACATTATGTCTAGTATGATTGTGGTCAGTGAGGTAACGTTACTTTTATGATGATTGTGGTCAGTGAGTTAACGTAACATCTTTTGTGATTGTGGTCGGTGAGGTAACATTATGTCTAGTATGATTGTGGTCAGTGAGGTAACGTTACGTCTATTATGATTGTGGTCAGTGAGGTAACGTTACGTTTATTATGATTGTGGTCAGTGAGGTAGCGTTAGGTCTAATATGATAGTGGTCAGTGAGGTAACGTTACGTCTATTATGATTGTGGTCAGTGAGGTAGCGTTACGTCTATTATTATTGTGGTCAGTGAGGTAACGTTACGTTTATTATTATTGTGGTAAGCGAGGTAACGTTACGTCTATTATGATTGTGGTCATTGAGGTAGCGTTACGTCTATTATTATTGTGGTAAGTGAGGTAGCGTTACGTCTATTATGATTGTGGTCGGTGAGGTATCGTTACGTCTATTATGATTGTGGTCAGTGAGGTAGCGTTAGGTCTATTATGATAGTGGTCAGTGAGGTAACGTTACGTCTATTATGATTGTGGTCAGGGAGGTAGCGTTACGTCTATTATGATTGTGGTCACTGAGGTCGCGTTACGTCTATTATGATTGTGGTCAGTGAGGCAGCGTTACGTCTATTATTATTGTGGTCAGTGAGGTAACGTTACGTCTATTATGATTGTGGTCATTGAGGTAGCGTTACGTCTATTATGATTGTGGTAAGTGAGGGAGCGTTACGTCTATTATGATTGTGGTCAGTGAGGTAGCGTTACCTCTATTATGATTGTGGTCAGGGAGGTAAAACATACCTTGTGGCAGTTGTTGTTTTCACAAATGGTCTCACTTTTGATCTTGTTTGTCTTATTAGCATCCTCCTGGAGAATACATGGTTACAATTTTATGAAAAGAAAAACAGTATCAATCATATATCAACACATCAAAATTGATGTATAGTAATTTACGGTTTTGATAACTTGTGTAAAATTAATAATTATGATAAATTAATATTAATAATAAATATTTACAGCATGCACTAGTTTTTTTGCCAGATAATTTGATTGCCATTTAAGTTAAATAAATCCTTCCGAACCCGAACAAGAATTGCATGTAATATTTACATAGAAACACTTTTTTGTTTTTATTTTATTTTATTTTTTATTTATCTTTTGCATATCAAATTCGTGGCACAAGGAAATACTCACTTTCTTAGGTTTGACCATCTCACGTTTTGCTTTGTCAATCTGTTTCTCGTGTAGAATTTCGTCGATGGCATTTTCAAGCTCTCGTTCTATACTCCATACTTCTAAAGAGATATTAGGGATGGTTTTAACAACAACAATAAAATGTATCGTGACGCTTTCAAGGTCTCGTTTACTGTTAAAGAATTATAATTAAAATAATGGATTAAACAATATATTAGATAATACAGCACAATTACATTATTAATATTTTACACCCATAAAACAACCTTAGCGTCAACAACCTAATTAAGGATGGTGTTTCCAATCTGTCGCTCAATGATACAGAGTCCTGATAAAATAATATTATATTTTTTAACAACGACGACGACAACAAAAAAGACAACAGAAATAACAAAACGTTTCGAAAACACTTTCTACAATTACTCAATCATGTTATTGTTAAAAACTTCAATGTCACGTGTCCTATAAAAAAACACAACTTTTTGCAAACATGATGCAACTCTGCAAACTAACAATATAACATGCTAAATGTCGCACGACGTTGTCATGCATACAAAGGTAGCTAGGTAACTCAAATAATAAGAATTCATTCACGTACGTTTACACGGGAGAGTGAATATTTCGCACACTGTATCGACGCACTAGTCCTTCTTATCATGTTAGAAATGGACTCGTATATAAAGAGATTAATAAATACACGTTTCTCATTGGTTGTTTAAGGCTACCAATCTATCAAAAGTATAGATATGATATTTTACATGAAGTCTGTATCAATTAGCATAATTATATCATTTGACCAATGTGACCGAAAATAAATTGCAGAAACTTTTCTTTCAATTATTCAGGAAAGAATTTTATTCAAACAGAATTTCTTTTTCAGACAAAAATGTAAACTTGTATGCCTCCTAATATGCCAAAGGGGCGTAAAGACTTTATAACGGTAGTAAAAGTATCCAATTAGATACTGTAACTGCAATTTTTAACTTTGATGTTTCATTTTCGAACACATCGTGTTCTAACTGAAAACGAGACAAAAAGAACCTATAATAGTCGAAAATTGCTAATTTTGCATTATTATTAGATTTTGAATAGGTTTCAGCGTACAGGTATCAACATTTAAAAAAGTTGGACAAACGTTGAACAATCAGAAGAGAATTAACACAGCAATCGAATTGTTTACGTTTTCGGGCTGTTGCTGTGCAAATACATGACATTTTCCTCATATCCATAACTAGATACGAATGCTGAAACGCATTTACTGGCTACGATGAAACATAATTGGGTAAATAAAACTTAATACCGTACCGTTGGAAGTTTAAATGTAAAATGTGCCGGATGCATGGTCAGGCAAGACAAAAATCAATTAAACCCAAGTAATAGGTTTACATTTGGGTAAAATGTGACTACTTTGAAGACTTGATTTTGGTAAAGGTGTACCTTCGATTGATTGTAATTGATAATCATCTAGATCAGGTGATGAGTGACGTGTAATAGGATTTAACACAGTGACACTGTCCGGTGCGATTGTTATTCAACATGATGATCAAATTAGCAAAGTATCACTGAAGCCAGCCTACAATATTCAAAGTGGACCAAGATCGAGACCATTTTCCCTCAATGTTACTTAAAACACCACAGAAGTCCGAATGTCGTCTGTAAATTGTATCATTATATTGAATTTAATAAAGGCTTTCCGTTATAGAATATTCAAGTCCATATAGACAGTTTAAATATATTTTTTTGTTCCTTGTTATGATTTTATCTTATTTTATAAGAAATTTTAATGTTGATGATTACTGACGGTCGTTTACTGATGATTACTGACTGATGATTACTGACGCTTCTGTGTGATATTGCTGTTTATGCTTTTTAGATGAGTCTATTTTACATTAAAATATTTTATTGGCATCTATCGCTGGTTATGTTGTAAAAAGTTCCTTCCTAAAAACATTAAAAATACAATATTTTCACCTATAATGCTCTTTTCATCAGACTATATGGCACATGCATAACTTATCAGGTTATGGGAGGAACTGTTTATTTACGAACATTTGATAACTTGTCTTAACTAACTCCGTCTAAAATAAACATGTTTGGCTATGTACAATACGAATCCCTTTATAATTTTATTAAGAAATAGTTCATAGTACGTATGAAACACACTAATATTTATAATTGTAATAAGAAATAGTCCATAGCACGTATCAAACGCACTAACATTTATAATTGTAATAGGAAGTAGTCCCTAGTACGTATCAAACACACTAACATTTAAAAAAATTAATAACACTGACGAAAATCGTCTATTTTTTACTGTTATACTTGGTCACTGAGTTCGCTAGATAGAAAGGAACTGTTGTATTAGTATTTCCATTGGCTTGTCCGTCGATGCTGTTGTATCAGATGGTAAGTAGTTAGATACCCAAATTGATCTTAAATACTGTTGAAACAGAAGAGAAAATGCTTAATTGCTTTATTTTTTTATTAAAAAAACCAGGAGTAATGATTTATCACAGAAAAAGGAAATTCAGTCAAGGTCAGTTATCATAGTTTTTTTCCATTTAATTATACTGTTCATGATACATGAAAGTGCTAGGTAAATAGTTGACGCATTACATAAGATTTGACTCTGTATGAAGGTGCGTGGTAAATAGTTGACGGATTACATTTGATTTGACTCTGTATGAAGGTGCTGGGTAAATAGTTGACGGATTACATTTGATTTGACTCTGTATTAATGTTCTGGTTAAATAGTTGACGTATTACACACTATTTGACTCTGTATGAAGGTGCGTGGTAAATAGTTGACGGATTACACACGATTTGACTCTGTGTGAAGGTGCTGGGTAAATAGTTGATGGATTACATTCGATTTGACTCTGTATGAAGGTGCTAGGTAAATAGTTGACGGATTACATAAGATTTGACTCTGTATGAAGGTGCGTGGTAAATAGTTGACGGATTACATACGATTTGACTCTATATGAAGGTGCTAGGTAAATAGTTGACGGATTACATACGATTTGTCTCTATATGAAGGTGCTAGGTAAATAGTTGACGGATTACACACGATTTGTCTCTGTATGAAGGTGCTGGGTAAATAGTTGACGGACTACACACGATTTGACTCTGTATGAAGGTGCTGGGTAAATAGTTGCCGGATTACACACGATTTGACTCTGTATGAAGGTGCGTGGTAAATAGTTGACGGATTACACACGATTTGCCTCTGTGTGAAGGTGCTGGGTAAATAGTTGATGGATTACATTCGATTTGCCTCTGTATGAAGGTGCTAGGTAAATAGTTGGCGGATTACATAAGATTTGACTCTGTATGAAGGTGCTAGGTAAATATTTGACGGATTACATAAGATTTGACTCTGTATGAAGGTGCTAGGTAAATAGTTAACGGATTACACACGATTTGTCTCTGTATGAAGGTGCTGGGTAAATAGTTGACGGACTACACACGATTTGACTCTGTATGAAGGTGCTGTGTAAATAGTTGACGGATTACATACGATTTGACTTTGACTCTGTGTGAAGGTGCTGGGTAAATAGTTGATGGATTACATTCGATTTGCCTCTGTATGAAGGTGCTAGGTAAATAGTTGACGGATTACATTCGATTTGTCTCTGTGTGAAGGTGCTGGGTAGATAGTTGACGGATTACACACGATTTGACTCTATATGAAGATGCTAGGTAAATAGTTAACGGATTACATTTGACTCTGTATGAAGGTGCTGGGTAAATAGTTGACGGACTACACACGATTTGACTCTGTATGAAGGTGCTAGGGAAATAGTTGACGGATTACACACGATTTGACTCTGTGTGAAGGTGCTGGGTAAATAGGTGACGGATTACATACGAGTTGACTCTGTATGAAGGTGCGTGGTAAATAGTTGACGGATTACACACGATTTGTCTCTGTATGAAGGTGCTGGGTAAATAGTTGACGGATTACATTCGATTTGTCTCTGTGTGAAGGTGCTGGGTAGATAGTTGACGGATTACACACGATTTGACTCTATATGAAGATGCTAGGTAAATAGTTAACGGATTACATTTGACTCTGTATGAAGGTGCTGGGTAAATAGTTGCCGGATTACACACGATTTGACTCTGTATGAAGATGCTAGGTAAATAGTTAACGGATTACATTTGACTCTGTATGAAGGTGCTGGGTAAATAGTTGATGGATTACATTCGATTTGCCTCTGTATGAAGGTGCTAGGTAAATAGTTGACGGATTACACACGATTTGACTCTGTATGAAGATGCTAGGTAAATAGTTAACGGATTACATACGATTTGACTCTATATGAAGGCGCTGGGTAAATAGTTGACGGATTACACACGATTTGTCTCTGTATGAAGGTGCTAGGTAAATAGTTGACGCATTACATACGATTTGACTCTGTATGAAGGTGCTAGGTAAATAGTTAACGGATTACACACGATTTGACTCTATATGAAGGTGTTGGGTAAATAGTTAACGGATTACATACGATTTGACTCTATATGAAGGTGCTGGGTAAATAGTTGACGGATTACATACGATTTGACTCTGTGTGAAGGTGCTAGGTAAATAGTTGACGGATTACACGCGATTTGACTCTGTATGAAGGTGCTAGGTAACTAGTTAACGGATTACACACGATTTGACTCTGTATGAAGGTGCTAGGGAAATAGTTGACGGATTACACACGATTTGACTCTATATGAAGGTGCTAGGTAAATAGTTGACGCATTACATACGATTTGACTCTGTATGAAGGCGCGTGGTAAATAGTTGACGGATTTCATACGATTTGACTCTGTATGAAGGTGCGTGGTAAATAGTTGACGGATTGCACACGATTTGATTCTGTATGAAGGTGCTAGGTAAATAGTTAACGGATTACATACGATTTGTCTCTGTATGAAGGTGCTAGGTAAATAGTTAACGGATTACACACGATTTGACTCTATATGAAGGTGCTAGGTAAATAGTTGACTGATTACATACGATTTGACTCTATATGAAGGTGCTGGGTAAATAGTTGACGGATTACACACGATTTGACTCTATATGAAGGTGCTAGGTAAATAGTTGACGCATTACATACGATTTGTCTCTATATGAAGGTGCTAGGTAAATAGTTGACGGATTACATACGATTTGACTCTATATGAAGGTGCTAGGTAAATAGTTGACGGATTACATCCGATTTGACTCTATATGAAGGTGCTAGGTAAATAGTTGACGGATTACATTCGATTTGTCTCTGTGTGAAGGTGCTAGGTAAATAGTTGACGCATTACATACGATTTGACTCTGTATGAAGGGGCGTGGTAAATAGTTGACGGATTACATACGATTTGACTCTATATGAAGGTGCTGGGTAAATAGTTGACGGATTACACACGATTTGACTCTATATGAAGGTGCTGGGTAAATAGTTGACGGATTACATACGATTTGACTCTGTGTCTTTTATTTTATTTTAAATATTAAATCTCACGGTTAGATGCTCAATTTTGCAACGTAGTCTACCTGTTCACCTATCACTGACTGGTTCAACAGCCAACATAAAAACTGTCTCTTTATGAATGCCCCTTAACGCTTACATTACCGTCCTTCAAATTGACAATTTTGCCTGGAGGTGTGTGGAGCTGAAAGTATTCCCCGCCGCCTGTTACAGATTTATTTATGGTCGTATTTGATATTTTCATTACTAAATGTCATTATTCATTGGAGAAGGCATTCGTATACATTTAAAATAAAAATAAAAAGTGAAACTAAAAGCAAAAATAACACATTAATAATTCCTTATACGGCTTACATTCCTCAAGTTCAAATAAAGCTACCGTGTTGCATTCTGTCGAAAACACTTGGGTAAAAATTGAAATCATAAAATTTCATAAAATATTACACTGTAAAACTTCATTGGTACGAAAAGACTTTTAATTCCAATGCCTTGTATTTATGTCAAACATAAACGCAAAGCCTTTTCCAGACTGGTACATATCTCACCAGGTGCATGATTTAAGCAATGTTTACGTTATTATCATGCATAAGCGACAATGATTTAGACTGGATTAGCTATGTGGATCGACAGTTCGAGGAAACGTTTACACAAAAACAAATCTATTACGTCACTTGGTTTGCTAAACGACTTTGTTATTCACTTACGAAGTAATAATTACAAAAACAAATGATCATATAGCAGCAGAAATGTGTAAAATTTGACAAAACAACGTCATCTTAAAGGGGCCCATTGGGGCATTCGTGACATAATGTTAAGTGTCTAATTCTTTAAAGTACGTAAGAAACTAAAAAAAAAAAAAAATTATATCTCTGACATGATTCACACCCTGATTGTGGTATTAGCGGAAAGTTTATTACTTTAGTTACGTAAGATTATTTTTTTAAATGCCAATTTTATCCTACTAATAGGAAAAAGAGCGTAAATGACCGGCACGGAACACTTAAAGTAGGTTTACCCTGTGTAATGTCACGGTGTGGATGGTTTATCGCGCTAACTTGTTGATATGGAAATGTGTTATTTTTATCCCGCGTTATTTTTATAAATCATGTATGTACATATTACGTACTAATAATCAATTTTATCGTACAGAAATTCTTTAATGTAAACAAATTCCACAATTATTTTTTTTTCGAAAGACGTTTTATTCATATAACATCATTACGATATGAATAATGCATGTCCTCTCTTACTTCACTTTACAATTAGAATATGATTTTTAAGAGGGAGTACAATTTCCAGCAGAGGTATAAGGAACATTTGTCTCGGCTGATGATAACTTTTTTGAAATAATTGAAGCGTAAATGTTCATACGTTCTAGACACACTAGTTCGAAAAGTGATATCGGTAGCCCCGTGATTTATTGCTTCCGTTGTTCATTAGATTATTTTTGTTGATTGAAGGAATAAAAAGAGAAGTTTTACACATATATCAATAGGGACGACCTACCATTAAAAGTAGTTCCTGAAATTTCAATAATCTAAAAAAAAAGTAAGATATAATACGATTGTCAATTTTTTTCTAATACATGTAGTTTTCATATTTGTGTTCAATCAAACACAATCAAAAATAGAATAAAAAAGCTTATGACATTCCTATCGACGGAAGGTGATACTTTACATGTTTAAAAACACGATAATGGAATTATACGAAATAAATTAATAAACCGTCATCTGTGCAATTTGGATTGGTTTCTAGTAAAGAAATGTAAAACGGCAACAAACAAAATCCCGTTTAGACCAAGACCTATTTAGACCAGAACTATGAAAGTTCGAAAAAAAAATGTAATTTGAAATAATTAAAAATCATCGATAGTTCCTGTTGTGTCTAGGTTTAAACGGTAAATGTGTACAACAATATTGTATTTGTATACTGACCTTTTTTGCTTGAATGCGATAACGGCGACCCGTTTGCTACATAGAGTAGACACAGACATATAACCAATCGCATGCTGAACGCTCCACAGCCTGCCATGGTCAGTCCCGAAAATGACTACAATATTCAATATTCTCTCCTTAATAAAGAAATAAAAGATGTATATCTTTTAAATTGACGTCAATGAGTCTTTAGACGAACTTATTTGATTGGCGTATCAAGAATCTACCTCAACAACTATTGGAGGAGACACGCTTCATCGAGTCGAGATTACCAGTTCGTGTCTTTCACTTTAGTCCATATCTCAGTTTCAGAACGTGTTACCTTTTTGCGCTCATTCATCACTATCCCTACCGTATTTTCCTAAATTAAACTAATTGTACACAACTACACACAAGAAACGACAGTACAAACTGATGGACAGACCATATGTATTCGGAGGTATACGTGTTAAAGTACTGCCTTTGAAACTCCCCATTGCAGTTATGTACGTGCTTACTGAACCGATGTTAAGTGACCACCGATAAGGTCCACTTCGGCACTTTCTCTAAGTGGTCTGTAAATACATATAGAACTGTACTAGAACCTTATTGTTATTATATTATATTTCTTTTTAGAAATAAATAAATCATTTTCACCGTATGTTAACAACGTAGACGAATCTAGAAAATTTACCAGTCGAATTTGGAAGATTTGTTTGATATCTACTGACCCCTAAAAGAAACGCTACATTATTGTTTGTTAGTATTTCTTTAATGTATTGAAAATGCTGAAAATTCATACTGTCAAAATAGATATTAATATCTGCTGTACCAAGAAATTGGCTTCATTTTGAATTAAATGTCTCCAAAAAACGACGTCACTAGCGTTTATCTAGCATACGTAAAATTCAAGTTCACCGAATTGATATCGCGGGAAAGAACCCCTGGCGTCGACCAAAGCCTGACAACAACATCGCATGGAAGCAATGAGTCGGTTTATAGACCCCATCGGGATCCTCTACCACTCATCTTGTCCTCAACTGATCCAACGTTTGATGATGCTGACGTCGATTGTGCTCTCCTCTGTCCAACTGGTCCCAGAGGTGCTCAATCGGATTTAGGTCTGGAGAAAACGGTGGCAAACGTGCCGCCATTTGTCACCATAAATGGAACAACATGCAGTACCAAGTGTTGGTGTCCTGTAACGTAGAGCGTTCAGACTACCATTGACGATCACAATGCCTGTGCGCCCTTTGCCCGATATCCCATCCCACACCATGACGCTTCAGCCGCCATAACGATGATGACGTAACGTACAGGTGTCCTGATAACGTTCACCACGCATATAGTGTACGATGCACTCTGGTTCCGCCATCTGAGCGATGGAGTAGATATCGAGACTCAACGGTGAATAGAACTTGTTTCCAATGCCGTAGAGACCATCGTAAGCATGGCCGTGCCCACGCTGAGCGACTTTAGATATGACGTTGCATTGGGTCAATCGAGGTACAGTATATGGCCAACGAAAACGTAGCCCTTCCCGGCCAACGGATAACAGTGTGTGGACTAAGTAGAGGGTGATAATGGATTTTGGAAGTAGTTCTTGCCGTCGTTAATATCCGATTACGCAGATTACGTAATCAGATACACCTGTCCAGTGTACGTGACGTAATGTGTGACCTCCCCAACCATGGACGATCGGCTATCGAATTCCTGGCTGTAAACCTGCTACAGAGCTTGGATATGGTTGTTTATGCCACCTCCGATTACCTAACTCCACCCTGTATCATGCCAATGGCCCTTTCACGGCTAACGTCATCTGATTTGGCATGTACACCAAAATAACGTTGTCATTCCTTGTACTGACTAATACAGTGATCCGATAGACAGTAAAACGCGTACTTTACACACTTTGTATACAAAGTGCACGTGCAAAACCTTTTGCGCGTGAATCGAGCTCAATGCTACGCTTCACTGAATTTTGTCGACGTTTACATGACTTGCATCACGCCCATACCCGGTTATGTCTGTTTTATTTCAGATGTTATGAACATGTCATATTTTTACATATGTTAGGTTCCCTTTTGTGAGCCAGTATACATATCATAGTATTTGTTAGGACTGAGTAAGATGATGTTATATACATTGGTTAAGTTATTTCGTCTAGATTTTAAAAAAAAATGGAAAAAGATGTTTGGATATAGTATTTATACTAATCTAATGGTAAAGGAGAATATGTAAACTGTATTAATTTATTCAAACATCATGCACACTAAATCCCGGTTTTTTGTGTTTCTTAATTACGAGATGTATGTGTAAACATTTAAGTATATGCTAAGTCACATGGTGTCACACTCAACAACAATTCTGTATAATATATTTAACGTACAAAATGTAACGTGCAATTAAAAACGCATTAAATTAGTAAAAGCATACAGCAGGTCAACACAGGGAAGAATAAATCCAACATCAAAAGAAACTATCCGCAACATAGTAGAGAGNAAAAAAAAAAAAAAAAAAAAAAAAAAAAAAAAAAAAAAAATATTATCCTGAAACCATATTCTGAAATCAGAAAGCTGACAATGCATTGTGGGAAATGTTGGTACCAGATCGAGGCTAACACGCCTGTCCTGTTTCAGTTAGATGTAACTGTCTTATAGTGCCAGTCTATTCGATACTTACTTTCATTTATTGAATGTAAACACATTTGTTTAGTTGATGGTATCTTTCTCGCATTAATAACACAAAAATTGTAAGTGTTAGCAAGTATGAGTTAACATCAGTGAAGCAACAAATATCAAATGTAAATGTCAATGGCGGATGCCGGGGTGTTTACAACCTTGACTAGAGAAATAATATGTAAAGTTGGGACATTTAGTATGAAATTCCCTACTATTATGATGAAGACTTTAAAAGATGGAGGGGAAACAATACCATAAATAAATAAAACTTAACACCAGAAATCAATTCTATGTATACGTTCATATTCATATGGTAAGACACTTTATAGTACAGAATATAGTTTACCTGTAATTAAATCCTATTGTTCTCAAACTGACACCAAATCTCACCTAGCATACATCCAACACCTTACCTGTATATAGGAAAATACCAAAAGTATGGTACGTGAGGCAACACCGTGTTGCCCCAGTGGCCCGGGCAACACCCTTCCCTGTGTCCAAAATTAAATTGACCCAACTATATTTTAATATTTTCCTCCATTTCATATGTGAATTTCTCATAAAAAAATAGGCAAAGGATTTCTAAGGCTAGCCAGCAATTTCAATAGCCCGAGGGTGTTGCTCAAACACCACTGATTTCACAGCTAGCCTAAACAATACGGGATTAATTCCCCTAGATTTGATGTTAGTGTCTTAGTTTTACCTGACCCTGACGTGTTATCCATGCAGTACTGTATTGGATTCTGTCAGAAGGGAGTTGGGCTGATACCATTTGTGGGACATATACCCTATATATTAATCCCTACAATATGATGACAGAAAATAGAATAGAGCCATCACGCCAATTCCTAAGTGAAAACAAAATGTGTGTCGTTTGGGCAACACCCTAAATAAGTAGCTGTGTCCGCCCCCTGAGTGTAGACGTCAGTAGGTAACACCAGCAAAGGCCGAGTTCAGTTAGGTCATCAGAAACAAACACAATATGGCAAAAATAAAACCAGACAGTTCAATAGGTAAGAAACAACATCTATATACGACATAAATAAAATGTAATACAATTTCTGGTTAAAATTTAGTTTCTGTCTGCGTATTCGCTGTGGCGATGTTGAAAGGATAGGATTTTTGAACAAGTTGTGTCGTAACTAAAGCCATGCGACCAATTACAGTAGTCAGAAAACTATTGACTGATTTGTAAATAATGATAAATAAAATCATGATACTTTGTTTGAAAGAACGTGGTTAAAAGATCGTGCTATTGCCGCGTGTATTATTGGGGTAACATTCACAGTTAACAGGAAATATGTATATGTACGTGTTGAAATTAACATAATATGATGTAATAATAAATGTTGTTGACGTGAGTAATTATAGAAGCAGTATCTGTAAATGCATGTGAAGTATGACCTAGTACACCACAGCCTTATGTATTGCTTAAAGGATGGTTAAAGGGTCGGGTTAATACATGCAAGCAATTTTATAACTTTAACCCTTTTTGACTGAAACAAACAAACTGCCTTCAATATCAATATATTATCATATCCGTGTAAATTGAAAAAAAATTCCGTCGATCTTTACACAACAGCACGTAGGTAGACACAATTCAGTCGTGACAAATTACAACCACATTTTCCGGACGAATGGTGGTCAGATCAACGGACTTATTTAATGGACGTATCAGGGAGTATACACCTTGTTTTTTGCGCCAGAGGCATATGATTTAGATTCCTAATGGGGCACGTCTTGGTACGCTGAAACATAATTGTGTGTGGAAATATCGGACGAAGGGGGGTGAGCGGACAAACAGCGCAGAGTGATTTTTATATATCAAACCACCATTTAAGATATTTAACACAAGATATACCTATATCAGTTCATCACACCTGTTTTATTTATAAAATCTCACCAACACAGTTAGGGTCCGTATATTAAAGTCGAAATCACCTGAGAGTATGTTATGTTATCAAAATCGCTATCAATACCATCGATGCGAATGAGTGTGCCGGGTGGAGGGGGCGACATATATTAAGCATTGAACTGTTTTTGTATGGTATTTATGATCTATTTGAATGACACAGCTTTGCAAGCAAATTGTTTGCTTGCAAAGCTGTGTCATTCAAATAGATCATAAATACTATACAAAAACAGTTCAATACTTATATTTACGTTTTCTCTGCCTTTTATGTTCTTTTTTAACTTACAATTTATATTTAAAGTTTGAAATTCCCGCCTTATCGACCGTCCACACAAATTCGTTCAATAGTTGGTACAGCGTGTTGTCGCGTGCGGATTGGCAAACAAAGTACAAACATTTGTATTCCACAATTCAGTATCAATACAATTGCGTATGATATGTATATAGGGTGATTCAAGTTTATCAATAGAAATCTGAGCTGAAAGTTAGATTTGAAATTGTTTCTATTTTTCACCGGAACAAATT